TATGTGTCTGTAACTCATTCTTGAATCTATTGTACATCCACATGTGCACATTTTCCAGACCTGCCGTTGGGCAATTCTTACAATGCTCAAGAAAAGTTTGTAAACCCATAAAGCCATTTGTCTTGTCCAAGAAAAAGTAGCATATTAGACACTGAATGTAATAGCGTTCTGTGCTTTCAAGTAGTCCTGCCATGTCAGGAGCAAGATCTTGCAAAAACATGTGGCATTGCTCTTGAAGCGCTAAAGGCAATCCCTCTCTAGTAGCAAGATCCGGAATTTCACATATAGGGAGCTCTAATTCAGCTTCACTAGAGCCCTCAGCAGAAAAAGGATTGTTATGTAGAGGTGAAGGTGGAATGTTGGTAGAACTTGGGGATGGAGGTGGAGATTGATATGAAATGCTGGGGGGCCAAGTATGATTAGCAATGGGTCTCCTTTGAGCCATTTCAATATAAACTTCTAAGGAGCTCAAGGAGAACAAAAAACCTACAATGACTATAACTTTTCTAGATAGTTTATATACTAAGTTTTAGTCTTGGGAATGCGGTTTATTTATTATGACACTAACAATACTCAGATTCTTGGGAACGAGGTTTATTTATTATGACACTGACAATACTCAGATTCTTGGGAATGAGGTTTATTTATTATAACACTGACAATACTCAGATTCTTTAAATGTCAGTCTTGGAAATGGGGCTTCATAATCATAGCTTTCTTGTAAACATAAGAGCTTCTAGAATTTTAGATTATCGTGTATACACATGCTCTATCATTATGATGAATCCTACTTTGCTACACATATATTCTTTTCTACACATGCCAAATGTCTACGGAAATAAATTGCAAGGAAATATAGACCACATTATAGTGGTAGAGCACGTTGGCACGCTACCATTCTCTCATGTGAGATTGCCTTTTAGTCTTGGAAATGTAAATAAAGTTGATTCTTTGATGTGATATTACTTTTGAGTCTTTCGAAAGATTTTGATTTCTTTTATCATTATTTACAAACAATTCCCAAAAAATTTTAATGAGGATTCACTGCAAAATATACCTTGGTCTTATCATATGAGAGGATTGCGATATAGGCAAGCAATAGAGTTTTTAATATGAATTAATATGTAAATTACAAATGTCATGGAAAGTTTTATGGAGTAGATTTCTTGGTGTTTTCCGCTGTGCTATTCATTTCTTCATTTCTTTTGCTCTGGACTGTTGTTTCAGAAGTAACAGGAGCATTTTTATCAATCGTGATAATGGTCTCCACATTCCCAGATGGGTAATAAGGACCAGGAGTGTAATATAGAGATTGTGGTAGTGAAACAAAATTAACATTCTCACATTCCTTTGCACTACAACTCTTACTCACAGATCTTGTATTTTCCTTGCTTCCCATCTTCTCAAGAACCCTAAAAACTCTTTTGAATGAAGGAATAATATCTACAGCTGTAAAAGTATTCAAAATATTAAGTAGTCAAATCAAATATGACAGCTGTAACAGTTGTCATAATAAAATAATATAGTTTTATAAAAGATAGGTTCTCATGAACTTTGTCTTTTTTAAATAATTCAATCTTATAGAAACTTTTAACTTAGATATTTACGTATTTTAATATTTTAAAGTTTGCTAGAACCTTCATTTGTTCAATTTAGATCTCCTTTGTAATATTTCTTATTGACTATGTTGACTTGAGTTGACTTGTGTTGAATTGAGCTCAACTCATGAGCTCAACTCAACTTTGGACCATCCCCCATATAAACAAAGCTATAATATGGGTACTAACATCTCAATCTTAAACAACTAAATTGGAATAAATGCGAAGTTATAGCACCCAAACGTGTACCCACTTAGATCATAATCTTCATCTCTACATATATAATGAAATCAATTGCCTATCTTCATTGGATAGTACTCATTGAGATTCATCTTCTGATACCAAATGTAGTACACATAATTTACACCCTTTATCCTATAGTGATTTATTATAGAATAATCACAAAGTGGAACTTAAACCTTCTATATGCCACATGTCCAAAGACAGCAAATGGAACTCAAGTTTTAGAGCTTTAGGCCACTAAAATGAAGGAATGGAGCCAAAGAGTGACAAAACTAGAGCACATAATGACTCTTGAGCATACAACCCAAAGAGTGAAAGGACAAGAGTACAGAATGACTTAGAATGGTCCTAAAGTATCTAGTATCTTAATGCCATGACTAACATGCAAAATGGAGCCAAACAAAGTCTAGCATTATATCAATATACTAGTGGCCTAATGCGAGAATATAGGTATTTAATCAACTAGTATGAAATGGAATTTGGACTTAAACCCAAGTTAGATGTAAAACAAGGACAAACACATAAGCAGGAGGTAGATTATGCCTCAGGTTGGTCAGCCATACCCTAACCTACCCACTACTATCCCTACTATACATTTAAAACCCCCCACACCACCAGAACCAATACAAGGGGTATGATAGCAAAAGTGTTTTGGCAAACATAATAAGTTATCATTTAGCAAATATTGAGAGACCAAGCTCAATATTGCAAGAGGTTCCAAACACTAGCAAGTGTAAGCTAACAAAACTCAAGTACATAATATACTTTTAACTTTTAAGTTTATCTTTTTTTTTTACAGATGATCCTCCTACTAAAGAGGATATAAAAATCATGTATGACTTCTTTAATGTAGAAACACTACAAGATTCATTACTAACCTCAGAACTTTATGAGGATACTAGTGAATCAATGGATGTGAAAAAGGGCCTAACCACTACTGATGTAGATCATGACAACTTTGTCAAATAAAGAACTTCATGCATCTGGATATACTAAGGAGGAGTATGTCACTCAAGAAAGTACTCTTACTATTACATCTAACTGTCTATATCAAAGCAAATGTCCTAAGATAAAGAAGAAAGTATACCCCTTGAAATCTCTTAAATATATGTCCTTGCTAATTGGTTTCATGTATTTAGTAGTCTCAAATATATTGGATTGGTCTTTTTCCCATAGTTGTATATATATATATATATATATATATATATATACACATACATACATACATACATATATATAGTCACATTATATTTAGAATTTATAAAAACTATGATAAATTATAACCATATTTTTAAATTAAAAGGTATAAATTATTTTAAGCTATATATATTTGTTATACATATAAAAAATTACCATATAACAACTAGAAATAAATCAAATTACATTTTATAATTTCTCAAAAAAAATTATTTCGATACTTTTGGATAGGAAAGTATTGTTTGCCTAGCTTCATACTAGAAAAGTCCTTGATTTCATTCATTGTGAAATATCAATTAAACTCCAGTGATTTAATCGTATGAAATTTTTTCACAAACGTTTCACAGCTGGAAGCAGGGCACTAGGAGCGAGGCAGCATCCAGGCATTGAAATCTACCTCCGATCCTATCTGATCTGATCCTATGGAGCTGTTCTAGCCATGGCGCTGTCCTGTGCCATGGCAACGGAGATCAGTCCTTAGCTGCCGCTGCATGCTCTGCGGGTATTGGAGCCCCGATCAAAACACCAGGGATCTGCTGTCCTGACCATGTCCAAATATCTTGGTGCTGTCCCCATTTTTGGATTGATTTCTATGGTTTCTATGTCCAGGCAAGGAGAATCCAATGGATGCAATGCAGCAAGGCACTTGTTCACGGATTATAGCAGTACGATGGAGGTATTATAACACAGCTTTAAATACAGTGCTTCAAAACACGCCATGCACCACGGCGTGTTGGCGTGGTGACACGAACACGGCCCCCAGCCGTGTTAACACGGGCCGTGTTCATTGACTCGGTCAATGCTCCAAAACACGGCTCCAAACACGGTTGAAACACAGTCAAATACCATGTGACCATGCCGTGTTCTAAAACAATAGTTCACGTGGTTCATGTGAGCGTTTTGTGCTTTGATGTTTTCTTGTCTTGCGATCAATCAAAAGGTTTTTCCAGCGATCTATGGCGATTTTCTTGGGCTGGGAATGCCCTCTCTAGGATTCTAGCGCTGGAGTGGGAGGAATGGCACTCAGCCACACCTGATTTCGCTGCAAAAAATTCCTGATCATTGTCTCCAGGTTTGTAGATTTTCTCTCCCAAATTTTCTCCTTGGATTGTTTCTGCCATAATTCTTAGCTGCTTGGCACTGCATCTTTGTAGATTGTTGTGATTCTTAGTTGCTTGGCATTGCGATTGTGTTATTGACGGCATGATTCTAAAATTTTGAGTTTTTCAAAAATTTATTAGGCGCAGGGCGTGACCGATTGTGGATTGGAATAGGAGCAGGGTGTGGGATTTTGGAGGCTGAGCAATTGTGGATTGGAGCAGCAGCAGGGTGTGGGATTTTAGAGGTTGGACTGAGTGATTGTGGATTGGAGTAGAAGCAGGTGCAGGATTTTAGAGGTTGAGCTGAGTGATGGCATCTGGGAGCCAGAGCAGGAGGACTTCAACAGGGCGACATCCATCATCCGTTTGGTGGGAAGAAATGATCCTTGGTGATCAAACAAACTGCCATAGTGGGCATCGACACTGGTCTTGCAAGTGGTGTTTGTTGAGAGACAAAGTCTCAGGTGTGGATCGTGTGAGGGGACATCTCACAGGGGAAGCTGGTCATGAAATCTTAAATTGTGATGTCATCTCAGCAGAGAAGAGACAACAGCTTAGGGAGATGGCTAAAACCATCGACGACCAAGTTTTGGCTGGAAAACACCAAAGCAAGAAACGAGCAGTTTCTACACGTGTCGAAGGCATCCAAAGCACTAAAGGAGAGAGTTTTGTTGCTTCCCAGAGTTCTACACCAGGTGGCAATTCTATAGAAGGAATTTCCAGGTTTTTTTCACAACAACAACAAGGAATCCGGGATTCTTTTGATCCAAAAAGGAAGGAAGCAGTGGATATGGCTATAGGACGATTTTTCTAGAATGAGCACATACCATTTGTGAAAGCTCGTTCTCACCAATTTAAGGAGATGGTGCAGCAGATTGCAAGGCATGGAATTCCCTACGATCTTCCAACAGAGACAGCATTGCGAGAGCAATTGTTGCAAGTGGAGAAAGCCAATCTTGAAATTCAACTTGCCAAGGTGAAGGCATGTTAGAAGAATTGTGGGGTTACTCTTGTTGCTGATGCATGGAATGACACAAGAAATTGACATATCATGGGGCTTGTTGCATACAGCAGAGGACAGTCGACTTTTCTCGAGGCCATTGATATATCTTCTAGTGGGAAGACGGCTAATAACGTTTTTGCGACATGGGAGTGAGGTATCGAGATTGTTGGAGAGGAGAATGTTGTTTTTATTGTCACGGATGGTGAGGCTTCAAACAAGGCTACTACTAGGCTTCTAGAGGCGAGGAAGCCAAGGATTATGTGGGCTCCATGCTTAGCTCATTGTTTGAACAACATTCTCAAGGATTTCGCAAAACTACCATGGATGGTTGGGCTACTAGACAAGGGAAAGACTCTAGTTGGCTTCCTCCGGAACCATTTGCATCTAGTAGCGATTTTGGCATCCTTCTCTTCACGACGAGTGTTGAAGTTCAGCGAAACACGATTCGCCTTCAACTTTCTTATGATGGAGAGATTGGTGGAGTTGAGGCCAAAGCTACAACAAATGTTTGTGAGCGACGCTTACATTGCAAGGCTAGAGTCAAGGACAGATTCTGGGATAGCATGCCAAGGAATTGTGTTCAACGATACATACTGGAACGAGGTTAACCACATGCTAGGTGTTTCAAGGAGGGTGATGTATTTGCTATGGATGGTTGACAGAGACATGCCTGTGATTGGGAAGGTCTACAAGGGGATGGATCAGATGAGCGAGAACATCCGTCAACAAGAGGAGAACAATCTTAGGTATGAGGAGCTAAACCAACTGATTTCAAACAGGTGGTGGGCTTATCATAGCACCTTTCACTCCGTGGCATACATGCTTGATCCAGAGTTTCAGGGGCGAGGACAGGAAAAATCCAGGGAAGTTTCCAAAGATTGGAACATGTACTTGGAGATCCAGTTCCCTGACTATCAGCAAAGGTCAACTATAAAAAATCAGCTTTGCCAATACAGGAACTTGGAGGGTAGTTTTGGCACCGGAGACTCTCAGATGGATCGTACAACAAAGGGTTCTGTGCAGTGGTGGGAGGACAATGGCTACTCAGGTCCAAATTTGCAGAGGTTGGCAATTCAAGTGCTTAGTCAGGCAAGTTCTTCCTCATATGTGGAGCGATTGTTCAGCATTTTTGGGCACATCGCTTCAAAGAAGAGGAATTGCTTAGTAGTGAACCGGATTGCAGACTTGGTATTTGTGGCCAGTAATACTAAGTTGATAGGGAGCCACACTTCCTATGACAAGTTTGTGGGATTGAGCCAGACAGAAAGTATTCCTCAAATTACTAATGATGATATTGAAGCTATGGAAGAAGAGGACGAAGATGAAGATGATGATCCTGCTAATGAGGAGCTTCTAGATGAGATGGAGTGATAAGTAGAATATTCTAGAGAATATTCATGTTTTCACCCGTGTTTATCCGTGTTCATTTCCGTGTTCCGTGTTCGTGTTCAAAAAATTGAATGCCGTGTTCATGTTCGTGTTCATGTTTTGAAGCTATGTTTAAATATGTGATTGAGTTTTCTTCTTGTAGATGCTTTCTGCTTGCGTTCGTGCGAAGTATATGGAAAAACGATTAGAAGCTGGACAGTTCTTTGAGGAAGGTATGTATTTCTGTTTTTTTTGTTGATTTCGATCTGTCTGATTTTACCTTTGCTTCTATTGTATTTTTTTTTCTGTTTGTGGCGATAGGACCCAAGTTACTACGTGCTTAAGGAGGACGAGTCTCCTTGCATTTTTGGCCCGATTGAGAAGCAGTGATGGTCATATGTTTGTGCAAAGCAGCTGTGATCTATGGTAAGCAAAGTTTCTGTCTGAAAGGAACTAAGGATGTGGGTGTGGTGTTTTATAATCTAGGGAGCAGAGAACGGCCTTGAATTCACAATCGTTCAACTGGAGTGGGCCACGGATGGATTTTATTCCCGGGATCGATGGGCCAAGCGAAGGCATACAAAGAGTTTTGGCTTTCTTCAGTACAGTATGCAAGCCACCACATTTCTGTGGAGTCTAGCTGTCGGTGTTCTTTTTATGTGACGAATTACTTTATTACTTCCATGTAGAACTTGCTCAAGAGCGAGCCTATGAAGCTTGTCGATGGTGGACAATCACAACGGACGTTCGTGTACATCAAGGATGCCATTGACACGGTGATGCGTATGGTGGTAAGTCTCTATGATGCTGGAATAAATCCAAATGTAGTCTAATCAATTGGAACCACGACAAGAAAATCCATAACAAGAAAATGGTTACATGGGCAACCCAAACAACGAAGTGACAGTTAGAGAACTTTCTGAGGCAAGTGTTGTTTTGAAAACTTTCTTTCAGTTTCCCAGGCTTATCTTCGTACTTCTTATTGGTGACACACAGGTGTATGGATGAGCCCATGAGCTCGAAAGAGTTTTACGGGGAGGGATATGATGACAGCGACAAGCGCATTCCAGACATGACGATCGTCAAGAAACAACTGGGTAAGAGCCACGATCGAGTGTTCTGGCTTTGTTCTAGTTTCCTTCGACCAATCGTGTCTAAACATCTCTCCCTCTCTCTCTCTCTCTTTGGTGTTTGCTCCAGAGTGGGAACCCCTGTTTGATCTCTTGGAATCGACACTGACTTACCAGCACAAGACTTATGCCCGAGCAATGCAGCAACCAGCAGCGAGCGGCACAAGCAGCAGAAGTGAGCAGTGCAAGCGAGGACAAGAAGCTGGAGTGAAACACTAGATTTTTCAACGTGGCGACTGTGCTTTTGTTGTTGCAGAACAACGGAGTCGTTTGTGACTGTGCTTGCTTCAGCTCAACCAGCATTCATCGCAGCCAAACTATCTCTTTTGTTTCTGACGATGCCACTGTGTACTCTGCTTCAGCAATCTATCAAGGTTTATGCCTATACACCACCGAAATTACATTTTTTATTCTCCCAGCTGGAAGAACTGGCGATCAACAGATGCCTTGATGACAATGCTACCATGTGCAATATCAGGACCGACCTTTAAGATTGGCAGCTCAGCTCTCTCCAATCCTCAAAATGAGGCAAGTGAGCTGACAAAGTTGATAGGAAAGTATTGTTTGCCTAGCTTCAGCTTAACGTGTCAAGAACAAGAAACAAGAAACTTGTATATATCACTGACGAAACCTATAACAAGCTTCAGCTCAACATGTCAAGAACAAGTGTTGGTGTGTAGACTAAGTTGATATCGTCATCTGTTTTCTTCGTTCCCATCCTTGCCTTTTCCGGGAGCCCTGGATCAAGAGATGGACGAGAAAGACGCAGCTATGGAAATTGCCTGACGCAAAGGACTTGTTACAGCCGTTCGAACATGGAGGAGTTATAACAGCGAGAGATACGAGTCTTGGATTACCCACTCGTGAATCTCTGGAGCCGGCTCTCGCTGTGACTAGATCGAAGCAATCCTTGAGTGGCAGCAGCATTCAAGGCACAAAAGTGGCATCTAGTTGGTTCGGACGAGCAGGAGTCAAGTATCACATGCCGTGGAAGTAACTCCAGCAAGCTCAAACAAAACTTTGTGGGTTGTACACGAATCAGACAAACTTAGTGCTAAACTCACGGCGCTATTTCTCGAATCTCATACCGCCAAAAGATCTCATAAAAAAGTTTATAAATGAAAGGGTATTGGTTTGAGTATAAAAGAACAAGGTCGGCTTGGCATGTTTAGGGTTTGACATGTTGCCAGACGACTTATTGAAGGAAATTATTTCAAGGGCAAGTGTTGTGAGGCTTGATGGTCTAGGTACTTCTACTGGAAAGGCAATTGGCAAAGGGGGTTCTTCTGGAGAAGTCGAAGATCAGTCGAAAGACCAATCTTTTCAGATGATAAAGCTTCCATGTCAGATATTAGGGCAGGCAGCAGTTTCATGCCCTACTGGAGATCATAGCGATGAGTGGGACGTTATGTGTTGCATGGAGGGGTTTGTGATAACGTATTGTAGAAAGCTTGGAGAAGCTCACTTGTTCAACCTTTCAAATGGAACTAGTCATCCCATCACTTGGCTCACCAACTTTATGAACAATTTACAAATGGTGTATCTCAGAAATAATATCTACGTTGCTGCTGATTTCAAGTTGCAAAAATATAACCCGCGGTTGGACAAATGGAGTTTGCAACAAAGACTTCCTTTAGGTTGCGAGTTGGAGAGGTTGCTTGTGTTACAGGATGGGATTGTTGGGGTTTTTAAACGCGAAAGTTTTCCGTGCGGAATTAAAACAGTAAAGCTAGAATGGAGGTTTCTAGATTTGGATTACAAGGGTGTTAACAAGAAAGGGTGGAGGCCACCGTTTGCAACGGACGTTATTGAAGATGGTGTGATCCCGGGTATAACAACTTTAAACAACGTTGTGCTAGTAATGGTGAAGTGGTTCCGTGACACCAACACGAATTGGCTCTTCTTTTGGAATGAAAATGAATCTGATTGGGAATTTTTGGATGGAAAGCTGGAAGGCAATCCAGTAACCAAATTGGTTGCGGTTGGAGAGAATGAACTTTATGCATATACTTCTCCAGGAGATTTGGTCTCAAAAATCAAAATACATTGGGATAAGAATGGCCATGTATCTAGTGTGGATTGGGAGAGTTAGAGACTTGGTCTCAAAAATGTTAATGGCGACAGTAGAAAATAAATGAATGAATAAAGAGAAATTTCATACCACGCCAGGTGCAGGCTGTGAAAGTGCACACAGCTCAACATTGTTATCGAAAGTGAGAAAGGCCAAGGCAGATTTCTTATGCTATTCCATTGAGGTTCGAAAGCCATTCGAAATCACTTGCTCAGGCTGTAGTTTTCCTTGTTGTGGTGCAGAGCTCTTCTCAATGGCGTCGACTCTTATCCATGCTATGTCATTCACTGCCAGGTTTTTGAATGACTGGAGTTGCGGAAGAACCCTGTAGAGCTAGACAGGCTCATTTAGACACGGGATTTATGGAGCCTGGTTTCGAAGGGGAGAGAGCTATGCAGCTGCCTTGCTCCACATCGCTGTAACTCTTGTAAGTAAAACGAAGTTGAGACAGTTGTTGTTGGGATTAACAGCGACGTAAGAGACCTTTATGTTTGGATAGATCGTGGACAAAAATGACGTACACCTTGAGCCAAACTCTGCTCGTTTTATGCTTATGCCTTCATAAAATGGGCCAAGCTCATGGATGATCCTGCACCAAAATGGTTTTAGTGCAATGGGAAAGCCTCTGGGAGTAACATTTTGCACAAACGAAAAGATAGACTCAGCTTGCAAGCCATACCGACGGTACTGGAGTTCAATTCCATGTCATCAGCTTCTGGTTATACGTACTTTTCCCGCTCCTAGAAAGACATGAAAATAAAAAAATATCGCAATGGTGAGAATCCTGGCATTTGCTGTATATGTGGTATCATAACAGTGAAGAAGGCACCAATCTAAACCACACTCTGGGAAGATCCCCGGTGACACTTAGTACTGTTTGTCCCATTTGAATTCCAAGAGACAACGCCAGCCTAGTGTCGACATCAGGCCCGACATGAAAATCTTTCAAGCCTTCGTTGTCCGGGCTGATCACCTTTCCCGAGATTCCACCTGGGAACAACAGGACCGAATGTCATCTGGTGTTTGTCAGAAAAGAAAAACATAGATAGGGTCACTCACTTGGTCGTCGTGGATTTGTAGTAACGGAGAATAATGACTGGCTGGAACTCCCCATCAGAGCTTAGGAGAGACACACAAAATGAAGAATGCTCTACCTCGTCGTTGCGCCAACGGACTTGAATCAGCGTACATAGCTCAGGCTCGATCATCCTCGTGGAAACATGGTAGTGGTGGCCATTCAGTCATCGAGATGTTGTCTCTCATGGCCTGGAAAATCTTCATCGCCTCCTCAATCTTCCCTTGCTTGCCCATACCCGTGCAGCAAACACGAGAAAGTGCGCATAACCTCGGCCTTGACCATGCGCCTACACTGCACAATTAGACACGGGTTCACTCGGAAGCCAGGAAGAAAAGCAAAAGTGCTGGAAACGTAAGAAACTCATCGTGACCTCCAGGTCCTGCTTCTTCAATTTTGAGAAGAACACCCGAGCTTCCTCCCTATGACACGGAGGCAACGCTGGCCTTGACGCCTCGAAGATACATCTCCTTGAGCTTTGTAATGCATCAAGATATTGTAGGTGACAGAAATCCACTTCTTCCTGTCCCGGTAACAAATCCAGCTTGCCTGAAATGGATGCTCACAGTTTGCAAGAGTAAGATGAACGCAGCAACGCACCTAAAGCACCTAAAGCAAGACAGATTCGCAAGTATGGGTCGAGATGAAACCAGTTTTGGATCCAAGACTATCGTCATCGTCTGGACGGACCATCTAGTGCCGAATTCGGATCGCTACAACCTGCTGCGGCGCTCCTTACGCTCATCCAGCTGGTGTTTGTCGGCACGAGAGCACTGTATTCTGAGGTAAGGATCAGCGTGTACTACTCCTTGACGCAAAGCAGCTGGACATAGCTTGCTATCGTCAAGCTATCACTGGCGATCTACTTTGTTGCTAGGGTTTGGTCCGGAGTGATCGAGAACGCGGCAATCGATCTTGCCGCCCAGTCCGGCGAGAAACACAGCTTGCTTCTCATGTAGGGCTGCATCTGAGTCGCTCCTCATTCTTCCGGCCACTGTATACGAATATGCTTTGCGAGCACCGCTGACACTGGCAAAGGTGAATGAATCGTTTTGCTCGTTTTGCTCTTTATTTTATGTCTTCTCGTGCGTGCTTGTGCACTAATATCTTTGTCGGGATGCTGCCAGTGTTTTATTCTTTGACTCCAGACTACAGTCCACAGGAGCATGGACATTGACAAGGTCAGTAAGTCATTCTCAATCAGGCATCCTTCTCCTATTGTTTCTAGCACAATATATCTCGTTTCACATACACGATTCAATTGTATGGTTAGCGTGGATATCTGCTCGGAACGTACTGCTCCCTAGGACGAGGAAAACCTTTTCCAAATGATCTTGGTAAGACATCCTTCCGTTGAGATTTAAGTTAGCGTTCATTTTCGACAAGCAGGGGTGTCATACTCCTCAAAGTGAACACTCTAGCTTCTTCCAGATGCAGAGAGTACGTATTTCCAGCAAATAGTATGCCCCGGAGGTTCTGTGTAACCTTCAATTTTCAATGTTCTTTCTCGGAAGTCGTTTTACGCGCCATGCCTAAAGCTGGTGCGTTTTGCAGTCAAACCAGGAATCGGCGGTTTTCTGGGTGTTGCGAAAGACACCTGCGATACAAGCCAAGGTCTGGTTTTTGTTCACTGCAGTTACTTGCTTGTTTCTAACTGCAGCAATCCATTCCCGCGCAAAGTCAGGCCGCGGAAGCTTTCAACTTGCCAGTCTTCTACAATGGCTGAGTTTGGCCTTCCTAAAACGTTTATCCAGGTAAAGTCGTGTCATTGCTTTCGTGATTATAGGCAGCCAAAGTATGCTGACTAAAACACCAGGCAGGAACATATATATTGTGGAACTATGAAGTGCAAAGATATAAGCTCAGTGAGTTTCTCCTTTTGATTCCTATGACCACAGCGTTTGCCTCAAGCCCGCTGGTACAGAGTTCTGCAGTTTGCTTGATGGCCGCAAACAGTTGCTTACAGTAGCAATTGAGACCGGAAGGCATCGAGCGTCTCCCTGCTGGAGCTTTTGTGGTGAGTGTATATCTCTTTGTTGTTCAGAATAAATTGGGATACTCTTTATTTCAGGTCGATTCTGGCGGTTGCGATCACTAGAAGCTGATGCATCACATGGACCGTGAGTATGACCATGACCGGCAGGCCTTGATGCCATCGGATTTTCATCTCCGTTTTTCCGGTTTTTGAGTGACAGATGCAGACTTTGTGCAGAATGTGACTCCCAGGTATGGAACCAAGGCCCCCCGTTTCGAACTTTCACTGAGCTGGTACTAATTCATATCACTTACCGGTGGGCTGGGTCACAGTTTACGCTCGGAGAAGGCATAGCGTTACAATCCGCCAGGGTAAGGAGCATGCTCATTTGTGCGTAGATGTGACGTTCGGCCTCTTTTTCACAGGAGTCGAAAGCTCCTGGAATGGACTGGGGAGATCTTTGGAAAACGATTACCATGTTGCGACGTTCTGCATGGCTATCTCGAGAAGCTGCTTTAGGAGACATCACCGCGGTTTGTCCCTTCAAGCTCTTCCGGACGATGCAGCACGAAGGCGTCCGGCCCGACAAAGTCACCTTTCTGCTCGACGTCTGCAACAGGAGCTCGTTATCTCCGCTGGGCTTCCTCCAGAGGCGCTGCTCCAAGTATTTGCCAGGAACGGGGACAAAGATGCTTACGCTCAGACCAGGAGGCCGGGATGAACCAGGAAGGCGTCAAGACCGGCGCATCTTCGATAGTTGTGCGAGCCTATGCGAGCAGGGAGTCCGGGCTCACGAGGCGAGGAATTCACCTCTTTCGGGAACACTCCGTGGGAGAATGGCGGCTTCGACAGGATGCAGGAGAAGAATCTATCAACGCACCGAAATGGCCAGTCTGGAGGACGCCAAGCTCGTTCCTTCGAGCTGTGAGACAATTCTCGACGTTTAAGCCATTCTTGTTAATTTACATTGTGGATTAATGGTTAATTAATATATATATCGAGACGTTGAATTACAAGATTGGGGTTTATGTTTGATTGAAAGAGAGGCGAGAGAGAGAAGCGCGATGCAAATGATTCATGCTGTTGAATGATTCATGCTGTTGTGTTCGTGGCTGTTCTCTCGTTTGTCCCACTGATCTTCACGGGAATGTGGATGGGTACTGACAGTGACGATGAGGTGGAGGAGAGCTAGCACAATTTCGCGTTTCTTCCCCGTGCTCCAAATGCAAAGGAGAAGAAGTTTCGGGGCAATCTCTGATAAACCACCTCTACAAGCGTAAGCGCTCCATTCCAATCATTTCAAACATTTCTTTAATCTTTCTTTCTTTGCAGCTCCGCCACCGCCTCGGTGCCCCCATCGCAGGATCTACAAAGGTTCTTTCATGTCCCTCTCTTTCTTTCTTTCTTTCTTTCAATCCCTGTGTGTTACAGTGCTGCCGGGGCCGCCTCCACGGCTGCCATCGCCGCCTCCACCGCCACCGTCGCCGCCTCCACCCCCACCGTCTCCACCGCCGCCGTCGCCACCGCCACCGTCGCCGCCTCCACCCCCACCGTCTCCACCGCCGCCGTCGCCACCTCCTCCATCACCGCCGCCGCCAACTCTACGGTTCAGAGGGCGAGTAGCAGCTAGGACACCTCCTTTGCCTGTCCACACCTGCGAGGAGCAACTGCTTCAGAAGGAACCGATTAAGAGTCTGTTCAAGGTATTTTACTGCATTTTTTTTGGTGTTTCAGAGCTGCATTTCCAGAAATTCCTGGGCATTGCAATCCACAATGAGAAGATCAAGAAGGATCAGTTGAATCAAGGAGTGATGAAAAACCTAGTATGGCTACATCTTTTCAATGTCATTTCACACTCAGCATAATCAGTAAGCTTTCATTTCGTTTTATTCCTTTTAAAAGTTTAACTGTTTTTTTTTAAGCTTCAACATGCTTCTGGATGCATCGACTTCTTTCCAACAAGATTTGCATGCTACAGCCACCACCGAGGAGTGTACGGGTGTGTTGCTAGAGCTGGAGAAGCTCGTAAACTCCACTTTACCCCCCCAGTAAGTTTGCTTACATTTTTCCTTTTTTCCGGAGGTAACTCTTTCTGTTGGGAGCTCCCCCCTTTTTCCTGTCACCTCCGAGAGTTCGTAATAAAAGATTCATGACTTTTTCCTTGAGGCTGACTCCTCTCCGGATCTTTGACGAGGCCACTTCTTGGCGCTCGCGCTGGTAGCTCTCGCCTGGATAATTCCCAGGACGTGGCATCAGGTTCTTGTTTGCCTACTGACGCGCATGGAGTTTCAGTGATAAGAAATGCCGGGTCCAGGTTGGTATGATTTTTTCTAGGCTTGCATTCCGTAACTTCGTTTTTTTGTGATTTGCAGTTCATGCACAAGCTGCCGAGGTAAAGCTTGTGAAGAGTTTGTACTTCAGTTATGGGCAAGGTTGGCACAGATTCGATTGACATGCGTACAAGCTGATGCAGCTCCAGCTATGTGGAATGCATCGTGATTTGCGGCAGAAGTAGAGAATCAGTTTCACAAGTCTTCTAAATCCGTAGTGACGAGACGTGGATCTCAAGAGTCAGATGCAAGTCAGCAGGAGCTGATGCACAGATCGTCAGATGCTGAGGATAAGTCGACCGTCGTTATGCGCGACAACTGACTGACTCCTGGATTTCAGACAGCTACTGAGGTACTTCTAAGATTTTGCAGAACTGGACTCTATTGAACGGCCGTTTGGGTCCTTTCGCTGTCTCGCAGTCATGATTTAGCTCAGTTGCTGCAGAACACAGTGCAGCAAGTGAAAAGTATTCCGCGCGTGGAGACGACGAAGGTGCCGTGGACGGCTGCAAGTAAGAGCCTGCATCTTTTCTTTTGTTTTTCGTGCCTTACGCCTTCGTTTCAGAAGTTTGCATCGCCGAGCTTCTTTCAACTGGTTGACATTTCTAACAGTTCCTGGCTCTGGTGAACCTTCGCAGCTTTTCTTTCAAGCCAGAAGACAGTGCCAAGCTCAAAAGGTTTGTTGTGGATAATTTGATTGCTTACTTTGACTGTTTGAATGCTTCCAACCGTTACGGAAGATTTTGTTCATGTTAGCGACCTTCTGATAGTTTTTGGAACATTGGTCTATGTCAAGGCAGTTCCTGTGGTGAGGCCTGGGATACATTTGTCGCGCGTGGTATATGTCAAGCAGTAAGCTGTTTCTTCTCTGGGAGCCACTCATTTACATTTCGTAATTAGATGACTTGAAAGCAATGTACGAAACTTTAATCCTTTGTGTCTCAGATTGCATCATTGGAGATTCGAAAGCTGCTTTACCAATCAGCACCTGTACCTGGAATGAAAGTAAAAGGCCGACTGACCAACTTGTGGAATATTTGTGGCAGGTCTTGATGTGTTTCCCTGGCGAGCTTAAAGCCAGGAGCACGAGACGGATTATAGAGGTTTCTAACTGAATGTGCTTTTTGCAGATGGAATGTAATTCATATGACCTGGGGAGTTCCCGGGTAAGGCGAGTGCGTTCGGGAGGGAACGAGTGAGAACCTAGCAGTTGTCAGCCACATTCTCACAGAGAACCTGATTTAATCTGACGGCTGCTAACGGTTGGATCAAGTTAACAGGCAAGCTTTAAGAGGTTTTAGCTAGATATTTAAGAGGTTTTAGCTAGAAAACAAAGGGGAAAAAGGCTTGATCTCCAGGGGATGAAAGGAAAGATAGTGCTGTGAATTAATATGAAAATAATGAATGGAAATAGGGATTCACAACTTGGATTCCCCCCTTGAAAGGCTGGTGGTTCTAACTACCAGCATATGTTAATAAATGGTATATGCTGTGCATGATCAAGTTTATGCAGCCTTGGGTTTAAGGTTGGAGTTCCTTGAGCCTAGGTTTTTGGTTGATATAGTCTGCTCCCCTAATAGAATTAGACATTGTCTTCAGTGTGAGCATAGTCAGTTTCCATCGCTTGTTGCTACTATTGCTCGAGTCAATAGAGGTGACACTTCTACTGCAGGATGTGAGTTCGTGGTTGGGGACACTATCTAGTGGATCTGTCCCATCTTCCTGGAGCTTGGCTACTTTGGCCAAGAGGGTGGTATGATCATCCTCGAGCTTCCAGTAGTGGGTGTTGATTTTATCGTACTTGAACTTGTAGGTGAGTTCGTGAGCTACTGATGGCTGCTTGGAGATGATCTTCTTGATGTCCCAGAGGTCAGTGCAAATCTACTTCATCTCCTTAAGCTGAGTGTCGAGCCGGTGGAACTCCTTCTTGATTGCTCCCCTGTATATGAAGGAGTCTTGCTTGAGAAGGTCCTATGTGATGTTGGCTGGTGTTGGGAAGTGGTTTGCTTGCTCATGGTGCATGCATTGATTGAGGGCTTTGAATAACTTGCAGGTGCAGTAGCTCAGGTCGCAGAGTTTATCCTCATACTCCTTCCTGATCTCGTTGTAATCATGGCGTACCTAACTTTGTGGCTGAGGCATGGCTGCTGCTGCTGCTCCTGCTCCATGATCCTTGTGTTCCTCGCTAGGGTTCACTGTGTTCTTCATCCTAGGATGTGAAGTTGCTGGAGGCGTAATCTGCTTCGTTGGATGTGGGTGGCGTGTTCAGTCTGGATTCTTTGAGGTTGTTGGAGATGAGCGTTTTGGATTGATGCTGGATGAACGGCCCAGATGTGGCGCTGAAATTAATGTAAATGGCCTTTAGCCCTGCATTGGTTTATTCTCAAATATGTTTCAGAACACCACTAGTTTATAAATGCTCACAAGATTCTTCAACCCAACTCGCCCAAGAAGGTGGTGGGCTCATTTTTGCACCAGAACTTGCTCCCACCAATCACTCCAACTCACTAAAAACCCTCTGAAGACTTCCAGTATAGTCAAAATCACTAGTTTCTATAGCCAATAGTGAACAATTCCAAAATTCCCTCCCTAACACTAGAAAGATCTGACAAGCTTGAAATCTTCTCACAACTTCTTCCAACACACTTAAATTGGTACTATTGGGTTAGGAACATTATGTATCCATAGTAGTTCACAAGTTACAAAGAGATTCCACTCAAAGAACACTCTTCTTTTGAAATAATATAGAAATTTGCTCCTAAGACCAAAGGGTTGTGATTGGATGAGGTCTGGCTTCATCCTTGACTTTTTATCCTCTAAATTTAAGATTCTCATACTATAATAATGCCCACCATTTCTTGACTCACTTATATTTGTTTTATATGCTTTGGCCACATTCTTGCCAGCCCCAGAGATCTCTGATTCCTTTCTATCAAAATTATGATCTCCCACTAAGGATGAATCTTCTATATTGTTGCTGTGGACTTCTGCCACCTCCATGTTTTACTAGTGAAGCTTCCAGACTTGTCTATTTCATGATTTGCCATGTGGCTAAGTTTTGTCCCAATCAAACCAGGATCTTGATCAATGCCTACATGATCCGGTGTGACAAAACCACATGGAGGGAGATTGATCCAGATAGATTTCTGGGGAGTTGTGTGGATGTCAAGGGCCAACTCTTGCCGTTTGGATCCGGGAGGAGGAGCTGCCCAGGAATTCACCTGGAGATTTTGATCCATGTGTTTGACTGGGGTGGACTGGACCCGGCGTCCCTGGCTATGTCCGAGTTGCTGGATTGAGCGTGCCCACTTCTCCGCTCAAGCGTTTAATATTAACTAATACAAACTGTGTTTAATGAAGTAGTTTCAGGGTGCTTTCACGCATGGATCTGGTTCAAATAAAAAACTGAGAGAAGTGGCATGTGATTGTCAAGAGGAGCACAAAAGGTTTTAAATTTATAAGGCTGAGGCCATCCTCCAACCAGCATTGATTCCAGGCAATCTCCAACATAGTTCTAGACCCCACCTAGAGTTTCTAGCGGCAATGAGAATGGATAGAGAATGTGATGGGCAAAAATCATACCTGCAAAAAAAATAAACTATAGGAAGTTCCATGCATTTAGAAGCCATGGATTGGAAGGACTTAAAAGGTTGACACAGAGACTCTTGAGAAGTGCCAAAGCTCGCTACCTTCTCAAGAATTATCTCCTCACAACACAATTAGGCTATTGAAGCTCTTTCTAAGGCCATCCCTCAAGCACTTGGAAGCACCACCTTTGAGGTATGAACTCCTCAACCTGTGAATGAAAGTGACATTAAAAAACCAATCAACGGTGTAATACATGTAATTAACAGCCTGCACCCACACTTGACGGTACAACAGTTTATCAACAGTGTAGTACATGAGATCAGCAACCTACACCCACCCTTGGACAATACAATAGTCCAAGTCAGTTCTAAATCAGTAGGATTAATCCATGTATTTGGCTTGGGCTGTTCCTCTTCTTCCTCTCACCCACCCTGGCTACCATCCAGTTTGCCAAAAGCAGTTCTAGGCACTAGGAGTGCTGCCCACTAAGGAGATGCCGCATATAGATTCTTCAATTACTCCTGGAGAGTGGAACTGGCCAATGGATCTCTTTGACAATCGCTTGCAAGGACTCGAGCCTGGAGATATTCTCGTCTTCCATGAGCTTTCCACTCGCTTGAGTTCCTCGCGAGCCTTGTCCATGAAATCTGGGTTCTTGATTAGCTCCGCCATTGCACAGTCTATATGAGAACAGCCGAAGTGTCCGTTCCAGCCGCGATCATGTCCTGCAAAATTCACGTCAACTTTCCCATCCAAAGAAAGATTTTCATACGAATTTCCGTTGCTACAACGTACGAGCGAAACTGCCTTGAGCGAAGCGTCCGTCAACTCCCCCGTGGAGGTCATCAAGTCAATAAAGTCCTTCGGCTGGCTACCAAAGTTCTTGCGATGAGTGTCAATCTCCTTTGGTCGATCCCGTGCTGGACTTCTTCGATCTTTGCAACCTGCGTGTCCATCCATCCCAGCCACGGAACAAAATCCCCAATGTGCATGCTACCACCGAGCTCAAACGCCCGAGTGATTGCCCGGTTGAAGAACAGCACCTCCTCATCTCCTCCTTGCTCGGGTCGCGCTCCCGGCCGAGTAGCTCTTGCTCCACCATCCTGGCGACGGTGTTGAACGTAACATCCTTCACCATTGTCGACAAATCGGCCTCCCGGCCCTCCTCCGCCATCGCCAGGAGCAAGTTCTCGGTCTCTTGTTTGCGAATGGGCTGGACCCGCTTGGCCGTGAGGAGCCGGAGCTTGCGTATACATATTCAATGAAAATGAGGATCTCTCCACCCCTATTGCTCGTTAATGAATTCATGAGACAAGCTATCCAACTTGCTGAGTGCTCAATCTAAGCTTTCCGACAAGGTAGGCGATCCAGGCTTGCTCAAGGCGACGATTCTCTCCAAAGTACACATCTTCCGGATTCATTCCCGTAGCCGAAGTATCTCCCCGAAAAGACTGGGGCCCCGGAAGAAATCGCGACGTCTTGGAACTTGAAGAGCTCTCTCGCGGCGTCCGGGCAGGAGACGATGAGCGCATCAACTTGCCCGAGCTTGAGGTACACGAGTCCTCCATCCCTTTAGGAGAGATCGAGGAGGGAGATGTGAGGGAGCTTGCCGAGGAGAGCCAAGATTGGAACGTAAATTCTCGGTGTTCTTGGAGAGAACCAGCTTGTGGAGGATGAATGAGAGTAGCCGAGTAGTAAGCTCCATTGCTGCTAGCCATACTAAGCTTCCAAAGGAGTTAAAACAAATACAACACTCCCTTTTTCTTTTTTCGAAATAACTTTTCCTGAAAAAAAGGAACTTCACATAGATTGATGAAGGAAAATGTATGTACCTGATCCTCGAGATCGACAGACAAAGAGTCGAAAGTTACTGCTTTGTGTGACTACGAACAAGCGAGGCTCTCTCGTGTCTCAACGCCAGTGATCGAGTTCGTCCCTGTTGCTCGCTTGCAAAGCTTGAGACGCTGGTAGTTGTCCAGGATTGCTTCTGTGAAATCGGCTCCAGTGATATCTGCGCCTGGAAGAAGATCATGAGTAGGACATAAGAACCAGGAATGCTAGAAAAGCTACCATCAAACTGTGAACCAGTCAGTATCGCATTCGTGAAAATTGCTGCATTGGAGGAAAAGCTTAGCGAGAAGAATTCAAGACCCAAAAACTTAGGAAGAGTCAAAGCAATCCATGAGACGTACCGTTTTGTAGATTCGTCATTCGGAACACGACCCGATCAGCCAAGGCTTGAACCCTGTTTGCAAAACGTGTATAAGATTTTCCATGAAGAGACAAGTACCAGCTTGTGTCTTGAAGATCACCACCTTCGAATCCCGCAAAAGTATCAGTGCTGCTGTCGAGGTTTGATCCTCTTAGATTGATCTTTCTGCAGTCACAAGCTGGAAAAATTCTCACTCTTTAAGATACTTGAAAGTGAAAGAAGAAGAAAGTGAAAGAAGTGAAAGAAGTGAAAGTGAAAGAAGAAGAAAAGAGATTCCCACTGAAAGAACAAAGAGGAAAGGAAAGAAACTCTTACCTGCGAAGACAGCGCCTCTAAGGTCTTGTCCTGAAAGATCCGCCCCGCGCATGCTAGCATGATCGTAACTCTTGACACAAAGATACAAAAATTTAATCTAGCTTCTCTAGAAAGGATCTTTCTTACCAGGAACTCGGCCAGAGCACAATAGGGAGTCGCGATCGTGGCGCTAGCGATCGAAATGGCTGCCAGCGGCCCAGCCAGGGACAATCTCTTTGCATTGTAGCTCCTCTCCTTGGAAATCTGGAAGAATCACAGAAATTCTAGCTCTAGATTGATCAATCGAAGCGTCTACCTCTCTGGAAGAAAGACTAGGGCTAGCGCTCCTCGAGGCGCTGGAGATGACCACCACATTGGCCATGGAAGGCGCGATAGCTGGACATTCTAGCTCAAAATCTCGCCAGGAGATGAGCGGTTGCGATCTTCGCGCGGTGGCCGCTGCCCTAGAATTCAATCCGTCCGTCGATATGGCAATGGTGGCCCGTTGCTGCGCCATGCGCCTAGCGTCTTCGCGCGGCCTCTCTTCTTGTTCTTCTCCCCGATCGCCGATCCACTCGCAGCCGTCTCGATCGGCGCTGGCGCTCTGTAATCGGCATTCTGGAGGTGGGCTGGAGCAGCGTCGATGCGATTCGTCTCGAAATTTCGCCATCGGGAGCTTTTCTCGATCGGCAGCTCGTCGGCCGTGTATGGCTCTCGGCCCCAAGCATCCAGCGCTGGAAATGGGAGGGATTTTCAAGGGCGTGTCGACGACGCAGACGATCCAGCAGCACAGCTCGGTGGCGGGAGCGCTTCCGGACGAGAATGAGGAGCAAGGGCTCATCTCCGGTGGTTCTTTGAGGAGCGACGATGGCGCTGGTGGTGCTGGACGTGGTGGAAGTGGCGGTGGTGGCGGGGGACAGGGTGATCATCATTCACAGAGTGGAGGAGGAGGAGGTGGAAATCCAGTTCTTGCGTGGTAAGTTCTTTGTTTTTTTTTTTTTTTCTCGATTTCCTTCCTGGCTACTGCCAGGTACATGAAATTGCTCGAGGAGAGGCCTGTAACAACGAAGGCAGTGACAGCGGCTATACTGACTTTCATGGGCGATCTATTCACCCAGGTAGATCGTCTCGCATTCTTTGCTCTTTATGCTCTTCTTCTTCCTGGTCTGACAGGAGGCTTGTGAAACTTTCAGCTTGTTATAGAAAAATCTGGTGGCATTGACATCAAGCGGATTGTCGTGATCACAAGTTTGGGATTGATGCTCGTAGGCCCTACGCTTCACTTTTGGTAAATCACTGCCTTTTGTTTGCTTGTTTGTTTTCCCATTGCTCGATCGTTTGATAAACTTACAGGTACTTGACTTTGAGCAAAGTAGTGAAAATCGGTGGAGTGAAGGGAACTGGCATTCGACTTTTCCTTGACCAGGTTACTTTCGTGATCCTCCAACTTCTCGTCCAACCTTCAGTGTTATTTTTTGTAGCTTTTCTTCTCCCCGCTCTTTATCGGAGTATTTTTCATTTGCTTGCTTACATTGGAAGGGCGGCCTTCAGATATCGGTCCGAAACTAAGCCGGGTTTGTATTACTATTGTGTTCTCGCTTGTCTCCTAATGCCTGCGAACTTCCAGGATTGGCCATCAGCAGTCATTACCAATTGGAAGTTGTGGGTGCCGTTCCAGTTTATCAACTTCATGTTCGTTCCTCAGAAGCTCCAGGTTGATGTTTTCTTGTGTTCTGACGAACGTGGATTTTGACAATTCTCTTGGATACGTAGGTCGGTTTTAGCAATATCGTTGCTCTAGTCTGGAACGCCTACCTATCTTTCGCGACGCACACCGAGGTCGACTCAAAGAGTCACTGAAGAGCTAAGTTTTTGTTGTGAAGAGTTGGAGGTGGTGTGTTGGCCGTTTTTGCAAAGGAGGCCTAACAAGCCACTAACTCACGTGAATTTTTCTTCAAGTTTTGAGTTGAATATACACATACGGTTTGATCTTTTGCAAAGCTTCATCACAGGCAAAGGAGCTTATTCTTCGAGGCACGCCACGAGTTCCATATCTTTTTCAGCCAAGTTAATGTAAGCCGCTTCACATTCTCCCCGTCAAAACTCCCGTATTAAAGCTCGCTCTTTCTTGCCTCGCAGGAGTGTGGTCGATCATGGCAGCCTCGTTGAGTGGCAAAACCTCGTTCTTGCATCTTTGTTCATACTGTTTCTTCGTTTTCCTCTCAATGCAGGTTGAAGCTATCGTCCCAGGCCTTTCGTCCAACCGGTACGAAGTTTTGATCCTTCAATTAACGTCTCTCAATTATCTTTTTGTTTTCCACAGGACGCGGAGTTTACTGCAAACTTTGAGCACAGGCAACGCTATAGACGATTGCCGAAAAAGTGCCGTCGACTGGAACAGCGATCGAATGCACATGGCCGGCTGTGGAATCGGGTTTGGCAGCGGTGCCTTCGGCGGAGCTAACGGGAACTACTACACGGTGACAGACCCGAGCGACGATCCACTGAATCCACAGCCGGGAACGCTCCGATACGCAGTGATCCAGGAAGAGCCGGTGTGGATTGTCTTCCAGAGCGACATGACCATCACTCTCCGGAACGAGCTCGTAGTCAACAGCCACAAAACTTTAGATGGACGAGGAGCAAGCGTTCACATCGCCCACGGCGCATGCATCACGATCTTCCGGGCTAGCCGCGTGATCATCCACGGCCTAAACATCCATCACTGCGTCACGACCGAGGGAGGATGGGTGGCGACCAAGCCGGGCCACTTAAGTCACCGGGGCCGAGCCGACGGCGATGGGATCCGGGTGTTTGAGTCGCACCACGTCTGGATCGACCACAACAGCTTCTGGGAGTGTCACGACGGCCTCGTCGACGTTCTTCACGGCTCAAACTTCATCACCATCTCCAACAATCACTTCCACGACCACGACAAGGTACGTGTTCTTTTAAGTTGTAGCTCTTTTCCTAGTTTTTCTTTCCCTTCTTGACTGGAAACTTGACTGGAAACTTATGTAGGTGATGCTTCTGGGCCATGCTGACGAGTCGGAGCTCGACCATGATATGAAGATCACGGTGGTTTACAACCGGTTTGGACCCAGATGCGTGCAGCGAATGCCCAGGTGCTTTATTTTCCCAGTTCTTCGATAGAACTCTTGAAAACTTTATTCTATAGATGCCGGTTTGGATACTTCCATGTAGCAAACAATGACTACCACGCCTGGGAGATGTATGCGATCGGTGGTAGCGCTCATCCCACGATTATCAGTCAAGGAAACCGCTTCCTTGCCTCGGACAAACGAGACGCAAAGGAAGTAAGTCCAATATCTCGCTGAGAATTTTCTTTGGCACTGACAAAACAGAGAGCACAGATCACCAAGCGCGTCGGCCACGCCGGGGATTGGATCTCCATCGACGACGTGTTCCTGAATGGAGCGTTCTTCGTGGAGTCGGGGCGGGGAGACTTGATCTCCAGATACACCCCCGAGCAACAATTCGAAGTGAAATCTGGAAGCCAAGTTACGGCGATGACCGCCGAGGCAGGAGTCCTAAAGTGCCAATCCAGTCTCGCAACTTGCTAAAGTTCTTCCTAGTGGAAAGCCAAGGTAGAAACGATATAGAAGTCGAGTGATTGAAATAACCAAAACTTTCTTTCAAAGGCACATCATACTTTCCTCTACTCATCGTCTTCGGCCGCGTTGAGTGCTTTGATCCGGTTGATGAGATTGGCCTTGCGCTGCTCGTAAGAGAGCTTCGTGGGTTTAACCCTGGAAAGACAAAACCAAAGGAACCATGTCAGTGAAACCGACATATAATCCAAAGGAAGTATACTCACTTCTTGTGAGGACCGTGATCCTTCTTTGGTGGAGGCTCCCGGGGGCTTGGGTCCTCGCGAATCGCAGCATGGACCTTGGTGTAGAGCTCTTCCAGGCTCTCCGGCTCAACGCCTTCCTTGATGAATTGGCTGAAGTGCGATTGGTACTTCTCGGGATCCTCATCTTTTAGTTTCTGGAAGAAGAGATAAACGTGAGCTCTCCACAAGAAGAATGAGAATGAGAGGCCTCGAATACCAGCATGTAAGCAGCAACGTGCCCGCCATAGATATACTTCCGGTGCACTTCGGCATTCAGGGACTTGTCCTCCTTGCTGTAGCCGGCGAAACGCTTCTCGCTGTGCGGGATGTCTAGTCCACCGTCCAATGCACCCTGTGAAGCAAGAAAAAAAGAAACTTTGTAACAGAGGAACTCGAAAAACTCGACAAACCTTCAAGGCACCAAAGACTCGGTTGCCCGTTGTAGTCCGGACCAGGCCAACATCAAGAAGGGCCCTGAATGGACGCCTGTTCTCGTCCAGAGTTTCAACGTTGTAGTCCTCACCATTCACCTGTGTCCCGAGCGTAAGAACAAATAGAGAGAAAGAAGTAAAACTTACATCAGTGTTTCCCTCGTAGATGTCAGCCATGCCCATTTTCGTGAGCAGCCTCCTTGCCAGCAGCAGCCCCGTGCAGTAAGCTACAAACGAAGTCATAGAAAACGTGAGAAAAAAAATGGTTTGGCAAGGCAAAGATAGAGAATTACCAGCCGCGTAGTTTGTGAGGCCAACCTTGAGACCATAGCGCGGCAATTCGTGCGCGTAGGCAGCAGCCATGATCACATCTCCAGCAATAGTAGCATATGCGATCTGGGCCACAATGTCCTTGTTGGACTAACACAAAATCAAAACAAAAAACGTAAGCTTTTCCAGTTTTCCAAAGGATAAAGGAGATAGAACTTACAAAGCGAACGACGAATCGGTACTTCGGTGTGTTGTATTTGTTCTTGTCCTGATTCGTCAAGCGCACCCGAGCCCGATAATCGGTCTTGCCCTCTATGAAGCGAAGAGAAATGTGAAATTTCAAGCTCCAAGAATCCAAATCGTTACCTCTTCGGCGGCGGTACTTGACCTGGTACCTCTTGTAGTAGGATTTGGATTTCTGCGCCCTGGCGACTGCCTGCGATGGACGAAAATTTAAGATCTAGCGGCATTGATCCACAGGCGCTTACCATGGCTGCGCTGCCAGAAACCCACTAGAACCCTAAGCGCTAGAACCCTAAACACTTGGGCGGCCGCAAGATATCCAACGGCTGAGATCTTTCAGGGTTCACGGGGTAATTTTCCCGCCAAATAGGTAAAGCGAAGGTAAAATCAGGGCTATGGTGATGGTGGAAGATTGAGGATCGCCCTAGCGCCGGAGGATTGGATCCGAGAGGTATGATGCTACTGCTGGCGCTTCCCAAAACCCTAGCGCCGGTGTTGATTGGAGGAAATGCCGCTCGGGCAGTGAGTGCCAGGGTTTGATCCAAGCTCAATGGAGTTCAGCGACACCTACAAATACAGCGGCCCCTGTGCGTTCTCTCCGAATGCTCGATTTCTCGCCGTCGCTGTGGAGGCCAGGCTTGTAATTCGCGACGCTGTGAGCCTCAAGGTACTGTGATCTCTTTCTTTGCTGGTTTTGTTCTTCTTTCCAATGCAAGTTCTTTGAGTTTTTCTTTGGAACTATTTTTGTTTCACAGGTCGTGCAGCTCTACTCTTGCCTCGATAAGATCAGCCATGTAGAATGGGCACCCGACTCGGAGTATGTTCTTTGTGCGCTGGTCAAGCGCGCGATGGTGCAAGCTTGGTCGGTCTCACAGCCCGAATGGACGTGTAAGATCGACGAGGGTCCTGCCGGGATCGCTCACGCGAGATGGAGTCCGGACAGTCGACACATTCTCACCACCTCCGACTTCCAGCTTCGTCTCACGGTTTGGTCTCTCGTGAGCACCGCGTGTGTTCACGTCCAGTGGCCCAAGCATGCTGCTCGAGGCGTGTCCTTCACTCAGGACGGGAAGTTTGTAGCGATTGCTACGCGCCGGGACTGTAAGGACTATGTTCACTTGCTGGCGAGTAACTCTTGGGAAGGAATGGGGACTTTTGCCGTGGATACTGTGGACCTTGCTGATCTTGAGTGGTCGCCAAACGATAACACGATCGCCGTTTGGGACTCATCGCTCGAGTATAAGGTAAGTCGCTCTTCTTTCTTTCTTTTTTCTCTTGTCAACCATTGTGTTGTTTTTTCCAGGTCCTTGTGTATTCCCCAGATGGCCGTTGTTTGTTTAAGTACCAAGCTTACGAGAATGCTCTGGGTGTAAGAACAGTCGCATGGTCGCCATGCGGCCAGTTTTTGGGTGTAGGTAGCTATGACCAGATCGCTCGCGTTTTGAACCATTTGACATGGAAGCCCGTTGCTGAGTTCACGCATACGAGCTCCGTGAAAGGACCAGCAACTGCTGTGGTATTTAAGGTACGCGTTTACGTTTGTGGTTTTGCTTCTTACTCATGCGAGTTTCTCTGAGCAGGAAATAGAGGAGCCATTTGACATGTCAAGCCTGTATCTGACTGATGACAGAGAGAACGAAATTTTCCAGAATGGTACGAGTATATCATATCGTTGTGTTGAGATGGACGACGCTTTAAAGTTGCTGTTTCCACTCAGAAAATTCTGGCGACTCTCATGTACGAGTGCGATACAAAGTTGCTGATATTCCAGTCAGGATTGCTGCTCAGAAGCCGCCCGCCGACAAGCCAAATCCAAAGCAAGGCATCGGTACGCGTTTTTTTTTTTTTTTTTAAAGCTTATATCGTGACTCATGGTTTCCAAAAACATAATGTGATCGCAGGTCTGTTGGCTTGGAGTGCTGACAGTCGATATTTGCTTAGCCGCAACGAAAACATGCCAACAGCACTATGGATATGGGACATCTCCCGGTTGGAGCTCGCAGCGCTTTTGATACAGAGAGAACCAATCCGTGCTGCTGCTTGGGACCCAGTGTCTCCGCGCCTGGCCCTGTGCACTGGAAACTCGCAGCTCTACATGTGGACTCCCGCAGGAGCTTGCTGCGTTAACGTTCCACTTTCAGAGTTCCTGGTGACCGATCTCAAATGGAACCCGGATGGCTCGTCACTGGTGCTGCTCAAAGACCGAGAAGCTTTCAGCTGTACGTTCGTACCGATGCTCTCCGAGTTTGAAGGTGAAGAACAGGTCAGCTAAACTTATTTCTAGCTCGTTTAGATGTTATTGATATGTTATTGATATGTTAACAACATCATTGTAAGCTTTGAGTTTCACAGATCTCCTTCCAGGTAGCTCTTTTCTTCGTTTCCTTTCTTGTTCTTGATCTCATGTCGAGCTTCTGCAGCTTTAAGTTCCATAGCATTTTTCTTGGTATCAAGTTTCCGGCCTCGTCCGAGGTCAGCTAAAGTTTTTCATTCGGCTTGAGTTACTTGGTATGAAGAGAACAAGTCACCTCTAGCTAGTTTAGATGGTAACGTGATTGTAAGCTCTGAAATTCACAGATATCGTTCCAGGTAGCTCTTTTCATTTTTTTCTTTTCTTGTTCTTGATCTTTTGCAGCTTCGAGTTTCATAGCTTTTTTCTTGCTTCCGAGGTCAGCTAGAGTTTTCCATTCTCTTTTCCTAGCTCGAGTTAACTTCGTATCAAATTTTCTATCAGGTCAGCTGTGGTTTTCCTGGCTTGAGTTACATGGTATCTAGTTTCCTATCAGGTCAGCTATGGTTTTGAGTTACCTGATATCAAGTTTTCTATCAGATGCTCGAGGTTCTAACGCGATCTAAAAGTTCTCATGTCGAAGAGATAGCCAGCGCTGTCCAATGCAAGCACCACCATGCTCGAATGGCTTGCCTCGACGATTCAATCACCAGCAGCAAATCCTGGACGAGCTCTCCTCCATGGATGTGCTCTCGGCGCTGGACTGGATGGACCACTCGCGCCTCCCAATCACAGTCCCACTCTACGAGTCCCTCATCCGGCGCTGCGCGAATCCACACTCTCTGGAGGCCGGGCGATCCATCCACGCCCACATCCTCCGCCACGGCTATGGCGGCGAGCGATTCCTCCTCAACAGCCTCGTTGAGATGTACTGCAAATGCGACAGCCTGCGCGACGCCACCGCCGTCTTCGAGCTCGTCGCCCGCGAGAGGATCGCGTTTCCCTGGAACATCCTCATCGCGGCAAATGCCCAGAGGGGGCAAAGCCGCGAATCCATCGCGCTCTACCGCCGGATGAGCTGCGAGGGAGTGAAGCCCAACGCGATCACGCTGGTGAGCGTGCTGGGCGCCTGCGCGAACCTGGAAGACCTAAAAACCGGCCGCGAGATCCACCGCTCCCACGTCCTGGGAGGACGGAGCCGTCCGTACGAGCGGCCCATGCCGGTGGACGCGGTCATGGCCACCGCGCTGGTGACCATGTACGGGCGGTGCGGCAGCGTCGCGGACGCGCGGGCGGTGTTTGAGGGCATCTGCGGGAGGGATCTCGCGGCGTGGAACGCCATGGTGGCGGCATATTCCCGGAATGGGCAAATGGCCCAGGCGGTGCTGGTGCTGCGGCGAATGGCCGTCGAGGGCGTACGGCCGGGCGAGGGCACTTTCGTCGGGATGCTGAGCTGGTGCTGTACGGTGGGCGCCCTGGACGAGGCCAGGTCCATCCACGCGCACATTCTGGCCACTGGGCTCGAGTCTCGGCCCACAGTTGGGACCACGCTCGTGAGCATGTACGGCCGTTGCGGCAGCCTTGGCGGTGCCGTATGTGCTTTCCAGCGGATTCGAGACAAGGACATTGTGGCCTGGAATGCGATGATCGCGGCGTATGCCCAGAGCGGGCATAGCAGGGACTCGATCCGGATATACCACGTCATGGACCTGGAGGGCGTTAGGGTTGACAAAGTGACGCTCATTGGCGTCCTGGATGCCTGCTCCAGCCTCGCGCTCACCTCGAAAACGCGGTTGGTCCATGCTCGGATTGTGGACACTGGCGTGGAGCTGGACGTGGTGCTTGGAACTGCGCTCGTGAATGCCTATGCCCGTGGAGGGCATCTCGTGGATGCTGATCTCGTGTTTGCGGAGATGGAGGAGAGGAACGTCGCGACGTGGTCGGCGATGGTAGCAGCATATGCCCAAACCGGGCATCCCGACCGGTCCTTGGAAATGTACCGGGAAATGCAGCTCCAAGGGCTCCGCCCAAACTATATCACCTACGTGAGCATCCTCTTTGCTTGCAACCACGCCGGGCTCCTCGACCATGGTCTCGACTACTTCGCGTCCATGGGCAGAGACTACGGGATCGAGTCCTGCGAGGAGCACTGCAGCTGCATTGTGGATTTGCTGGGCCGGTCCGGGCGGCTAGACGAGGCCGAGGCGCTCATGGCCAGCGTTCCGTACAGGCTGGGAATATCCGCGTGGATGTGCCTGCTCGGGGCGTGCCGGACTCACGGTGACGTGGAGAGGGGGGCCCGCGTGGCGAGGCGGGCCTTCCAGGTGGAATCCGGGGAGGTGGCTCCGTACGTGGCCCTGTCCAATATGTATGCCGGCCACGGCATGTGGGACGAGGTCTCCAGGGTACGGCAGCTCATGGCCAACACTCTGGACAAGTCCACGGGCAAGAGTTTCGTGGAGATTGATGGGCGGCTCCACGAGTTTATCCAAGGCGATGAGACACACCCTGAGAAAGATTCCATCCAAGCCAAGATCCTGGAGCTCGAGCTAGATTCTCCCACGGTTCCTTTGTTCCACTGCCTCCACAGTGAGAAAGTGGCCGTGGCGTTTGCGATGCTCAAGACGAGCGGCGAGATCCCCCTGCGCGTGGTGAGCAGCCTGGGAATATGCCACGAGTGCCACGCCTTCATGAAGGGCATCTCCAAGAGATGCCGCAGGGAGATCGTGGTGAGGGACGCCGAGATGCTCCATCGGTTCGACGGTGGATCTTGCTCGTGCGGACGTTAGCGAAAGTGACACGCGGCCGCCTCGCGACGTGGCGAAAATGTAGGAATCTTAGCGGCGCCCACCAATCACGTTGCGGTATTTTGAAACACTCTCATTAGCTTTGTCAGGTCGGCATGCTAGGTAATGTCATGATTGCTGTATAGGAAGGATTAGTATATACATGTCCATGCATGCATGCCCGTACGTTTATACCTTTTAAAAATATAGCAAACTACCTTTTAGTGGAATACACCTGGCATTTTTATTGTCAATCCTCGGTTATATTTATCTTTACTTAAGGGCCGGCCACTACCCTCGTTCCAATCCAACGGCACGCGATAGAGCTCTTTATCAGAATATCCTTCCGCAACGGAATATACCGTGGAATGGTTAAAAACGTGTGCGTTTATATGTCGTCGTGCATGCATGCACGCACGCACTCACTCGACCCCATTTCTTCGGCGTGATCCAGTCGCCCCGCGAGTGATTCGGCGCTGCGCTTGGCCGCGATCGAGGCGCCAGGGTTTCGATTAGATAGGCATTGCGGTTTTCCAGGGCCAGGGCGCCGCCATTGCGCTGCGTGGTAGATCATACAACCCTGGGACTCGTTTGGTGCTAGGGCTCGAGTGATCCATCGCAGGGACGAGGTGCTGGCTATGGCGTCGAGCGGCGGCGGCGGCGGCATCGCGCAGCTTGCAAAGGTACGCCGCCGTGAAATCTTTTGCGCGCCGCGCGTCTCGATCTTCGATATTACGGCCTGGCGATCCATGGCTTGCGTGCGTCGCACGCCTTGCGTGGGAAATTTTGCTCGCGTCCTGTGCATATGGCAGCTTTTCTTCCCCGCTCGAGCTTCTCCTTCTTCTTCTCCCCTTTTTTGACTTCTTTCCCTCCTGCGCTTCGTTTGTGTGAGTGTCTTGTGTGCGTGTGGAGTGATGATCTTTGGAAGCGTGCATTGTGACTAATTCCTTGTGAAAATACTCTTGCAGTGAGGATCGCGACACTCTGTTTGGGTTTACGTGGACTTGGTCGTGACTATGGACGAGAAACTAGTATAGTACAGTACTAGGAATGGGGCTCTCATGAAGAACAGAACACACAGGGACAGGGAGAATAGGAGATAGAACGAAGATGGGGGCCTCTTAGTTTTGGACAGAGGAGGGGCTGGGCAGTTTTCTCTGCGGTGGACGGTGCTGCAATGGAGCCCACACGGCACAAAGCGTGCATGAATGTCAGATGTGAGGCGATCGAGAGCGCAGCATGGAAGCGAGGATGGCGGCTCCGCTCCGGCGACCGAGCTGATTTATGCACAGACTGTGGGTATGTGATTCTATCCTTCACGTAGTGGCTGCCTTCTTTAGCTCTCTTCAGGATTAGTGTTGTGGTGTTTTGCATCTTGGGTTGCTGTGAGCTCGGCTGATCCTGCAAGTCTCACCCACATCACGTTTCTTTTTTTCTTCAGTCGCGAGAGACCTTGACTGTTTTTTCTCTTTCTGGTTTGCGGTGTTACCAGTTCGGCGTTTGAGCTGTCACGCTTTTGCGAAAAGTTTCATGCGTATGATCCCGGGTGGAGAAGTTGCATTGCGTGCGGAAAGGTAATATAGCTCTAATGTTTAGAAGGATCGGCCGCTTCCAAGTAGTCGCAGAGGGTTTTACTAGAGAGCATGGGATGCATCGTCTTTTGGAAGTTCACGTCTGACCAGTGTTTTGTGTGAACTTGCAGGGTCTGCATTGTGGATGTATAGCTTCCATTCATCTTTTTGTGCTTTTGGATACGGGAGGCGTTTCCTGCCGAGGTTGTGTCGATCTTAGAGAGTCTCGCAACGTGGTGCGTAGCTTCTTTTTTCTTTTTTCTGATTTTCCATTGTTCTCATTTCCTTTTTTTTCAGCAAGGCATTTTGGGGGGATTCTCCTACGATAGTGACTTAGGAAAGGAGCAGGAAGAAAACCTTATTCTCAAGCCAAAGTCTGAAGTAGATTTCGAGCAGAAAATGGCGGGGACCGGTAGCGAAGACGAAAAGGTTAGAGGTGTCGCAGAGGGATTGTCGGCAAAACGGGAAGTGGATACTTACATGGAAGAGATGGAAAAGCTAGCGGTTACAAGGGAATCACCTGGAACTCAAACCGAGGTGGCGAGCCTGAATACATCTTTAGGCTTGGGGATGGGGATAAAAGTTGATGACACAGCAGCTGGTAATCTTTTCCAAACGGAAAGTCCAGCTTCAGGTGGCGAAACCAAGGAAAATCCTTCGAAGTATTCACCGATTCCATATCGACCACGACATCGGCAGGTTGGGAAGCAACCAGTTCCACCGCGTGTTCCGCTCTCAGGGGCTGCACCTGAACCAACTAACGACCCGAGAGTTGCACGTCCTCCTGCTGATAGTAAAGGCAGGAACCAGCTTTTGCCTCGCTACTGGCCTCGGATTACAGACCAGGAAATTCAACAGTTCACTTCTGGAGAGTAAGTTGTTCGTTCTCCTTTTTTCTTCTTGTTTTTCTTATGACTCATTTGTTTCCAGCTCTAAAATTACACCCCTGTTCGAGAAAGTACTCAGTGCCAGTGACGCTGGACGTATTGGACGATTGGTTCTTCCAAAAGCATGTGCGGAGGTCTGCATGTTCTTTTGTCCTTTTCATTGGCACTGTGCGACTGTGTTTTGATGCAGGCGTATTTTCCCACGATTTCACAAGCTGAAGGCCTTCCGCTAAGAATTAATGACATCAATGGGAGGGAGTGGCAATTCCAGTTCCGTTTCTGGCCAAATAACAACAGTCGCATGTATGTACTAGAAGGTGTTACACCATGTATACAGGCTATGCATCTCCAAGCCGGTGACACAGGTATGATACCCATGACAAGTTTCTGTTTCATGTCTTCAACAATGCCTTTTCTGGTTCCAGTCACTTTCAGCCGTCTAGAACCAGAAGGAAAACTTATAATGGGATATAGGAAGGCACAGGTAAGCTATTTACTACAACAGTAACATGAATGAATCTGGCATAAGCCTCTTCAGGATTCTGGGGACGGTGAGTACCCCGGTGCTAAACAGACAGATTACAAATCAAAAGCCAAGGAAACTCAATCAACTCTTTCAGCGGATAAAAGAAGGGGTCGGCCTCTAGGAGCAAAGAGCAAGCGACTTCGTCTAGATAGTGAAGACTCATTGGAGTTGAAGACAAGCTGGGAAGAAGCTCAGGAGTTGTTAAGACCGCCTCCCGGGGTCACGCCCAGCTTCGTCACTATCGACGGCCATCAATTTGAAGAGTACGAGGTACTTCGGTTTGTAGTCATTCTGCATGCATTTAAGCTGTATGGACAACCTGCAGGAGCCTCCTGTTCTTACGAAGAAAACGGTGACGAGGACCAAACCTTCGGGGTAAGAAGCTCTCAATCTCGTTCTTCCACTAACCTCTCGTGCTCTGCAGGGAGCAAGACCGCTGGGTGCAATGCGATGATTGTGCAAAGTTTAGGCGGGTTCCTCTTGACATATTTATACACACAAGATGGACTTGTACCGACAACGTCTGGGACTTGAAAAGGTAGAGAGATTTCTATACAGCATGCAGAGTGAGTGCTCACGTCTGTCCTTTGTCGCCAGAGCAAACTGTAGTGCCGCGAAGGAGCTCAGCAACGAAGACATGGACCAGCTCATGGACAGTATGTCAGGTAAAGCCCAGCAACGAATGTGATTAGAAACTGATAAGCATGTGGTGTGTGTGCGTATATATAACAGGTAAACCAGGGAAAGCGGCCAGCTCGCCATCGGGATTGGATGCCTTGGCAACTGCTGCGGCATTTGGCGACGAGAAGGCAGCATCTCCTCCGCCACCAGCTGCGACAACAAAGCATCCCCGCCACCGTCCGGGTTGTACATGCATCGTCTGCATCCAGCCTCCCAGCGGCAAGGGTCCCAAGCACAAGCCGACGTGCGTGTGCAACGTCTGCCTGACCGTGAAGCGGAGGTTCAAGACGCTGATGATGAGGCGGAAGAAGCGGCAGTCGGAGCGCGAGGCGGAGACGGCGCGGAAGAAGAAGGCGTGGGACAAGGACGACGGGGTGGCCGCGGCGGCGTCCCCGGCAGAAGCCAAGTGGCTCAAAGGCAACAACAACAACAACAACGTCACCACCACGCCGGAGAGGGGCCAGCAGCGCTACAACACGAGAGAGGCATCGGCACCGCCAAAGGCGAGCCCGGCATTGCCAGCGGAGAGCCCGAGCCCGAGTCCCAGCCCGATCAACCCGATCAACCCGTTTGTGACGGAGCGAGGTAAGACGTTTCCATTCCCAGAGCTGCTGGGAGCGTTTGCGTCACCGCCAGTTCCAGGGGGAGGAGTAGGAGGAGGAGGTGGTGGTGCTACTGCTGTGGCGGATGAGAACTTGGCGGGGAAAGGAGGGATTGATCTCAACAGCCAGCCGGAGCGGGACGAGGCGGCACAGCAGAGCAGGCTGAGTATGATGAGGCTGCTGCAGGACGCGAGCTTGCCGCTGGATATGTATCTCAAGCAGCAAGGGATGGCCAACCTTGCTCCAGGATTTGGTGGTGGTGGAAATGGTGGTGGGAGTGGTGGTGGTGGTGGTGGTGAGCAGGTGAGTGATGCAAAGCAGCAAATTCAGCAAGCAGCAGCAGAACCCTCCTCTGTGCAAGATGGTTAAAAGAAAACAGCAGAGCAGGTTGGAGAGATTATTTATCTGTGTTCAACATGGTTGGGTGGTGGTTTTTTTTTATCTTATTTTTTTGATACTGTAACAGGAAGCAATAGAGGAAGAAAGACATGTTTCTTTGTTTAATAATTGGTGATCAAAGTTGATAATTGTGGCTTCTAGAATTTGTGTTTCTTTTCTGATAATTGGTGGGTTCCAGAATTTGTGTTTCTTTACTTTAATATTTGGTATATTAGTTATCTGATACAAGCTGATAACTCTTTACTGAGGCATGGTTCTAGAATTGGTCTGTTGGAAAGAGGAATGAAACTTCTTACTAGTCCAAAGCTGCAGATTTGTATAAGATTTTATCTGCAAGGACATACGAATAGTCCTACTTATAATTGGGATTTGTTCTTGGTTTTCCTAGCAGAGCAGAACGTAGAAGCATGGGTCAGCCGGTGCGAGGGTCCGTTGCCGTCAAGATCCTGGAAGATATTGCGAATTCCTGCGGCGGAAGCAAGCGCAGCATGGAGGATGAGATCCTGGATCATGTAGAGAAGAGCTTTTAGCTTCCCAGTGGAGGAAGCAATAAAAGATCCAACAACAATGTGAACAAAGCAAAAGTTTCATTTCCCCTCCCTCTAGCTTAATTCCCTCTTCGTTTCATCGAGCCTACAAAGGAAAAGGAGAAACTCTTTGTCGATCCAGGCTCTTTGACTTTCATGGAGAGCTTTTTAGCTGGAGAGGATTGGAACTCATTGGATCATCTTCAAGCTGAGAAGAAGCATTGATATTGATGCTCTGGATTTAGCTTTCATGTAGAGCTTTCTAGCTTCATGGAGAGGATTGGAACTTATCCCTTTCACGTTGGAGAGAATTGCTGGAAGAAGCATCGATCAATCGATCAATCGATCCATGGTTGACTCGATCCTGAGAGCACGCCGGGAATCTCTAAGCACGGACTCACGACCACGAAGAAAACGACGCAAACGACTAGGTGTAGACCTGGACTTTCAGTGCCAAAAACGCTGCTTTTCATGATTCTACTGGAAGACTTGGAACAAGAAAACGTGAAACAATACCAACTCATGGCAGTGTACCTGGATACAGTTCTCTGTGGCTCGCGTTAATGTGAAGTGTCACCTGGAAAACCATGACAATCATAAGAGCCACGAGAAACATTAAGAAACGTGAGACGAGTACCGCTTTAGGCGACGAGCAAATCGGGCAGCGAACTATGCCGTTCTCGTTGCAATGCGGGCATTTCTTCACACCGCCGCCTCCCACCAGGAAAAGCTTGCAGCTTCCACGGCACCAGCGGCACGGAACGAACCTCATCCCACCACACCCGTCGCAGGCCAGGAACGATCCATGCCGGGAGACCATCCCCTGGAGCAGCCTCGCCAGATTTCCCTGCTCGTGCATCGATCTCACTTCCTCGGCACCACCGATGAATCTCCCCGCGATGAACACCCGCGGCAGGCCCACCGGAGCACCCAGGAGTTGCCGCAGCTCCGTCCGGAAGCCCGAGTGCATTGACACGTCTCTCTCGTCGATGTTGATGCCCAGCGTCCGGAAGAGCATCTGCATGCTCCGGCAGTCCTCGTACGTCTTTCGAATACCCCTCAGGCTGGTGCAGTAGAGAACAACGCTTGACTCGCCACCGGGCGGGCAGCACTGCTGGAAGGACTCCACAAAGTTCCTTCGCTCGTTTTCTTCTTGATCGTTTTCTTCTTGACCACCATCGCACTGTGGTGCCTCCTGAGACAACATCTGCATGGAGTGAGATCAGGACCACATGAAGAAAGAGATCTCATTGTACCTGTGTTGCCGAGTGAAAAACCTTTCACCACAGTTCTCTCTCATTCCAGCTCTGACAGCCGTTTTAATTGCTTGCTTCTTTTACGGCAACTTCCACCCCCATCTCTGAGCCGTCTGCTAGAGGATGTTAACTGCCTCATGCTTTTCAGCATCATGTTGCGGTACAAATGACTTGGATAATCTCCCTGTCACGTACTGCAGCTTTTGTCAATGAAAGGATCAAGAACGATCGAGAGTTAAGTAGGAACCGGTGAGGAGCTACAGTAGTTCCATCTCCCTTTCAGTGTCAGTCAGGGGAAATTGCATATCACTTTCTCATCCACCTATTCAGCAGTCACAAATTCAGATAATCAGTCGTCACTAAATTGAAAAAGCTGATAAGAAAAAAAAAACTACTACGTACCCAAAGTCGAGATGATCTGGTTGAGCGAACTAAAATTACTGAAGGAAAAATCTCAGAGACAAAAACACAGAGATGAATATGGAAAGTTAAGCAAGGAGAAAATGTACGTAGATTATTCTCGGCTGCGGTAGTAGTTGCAGTAGTAAAACGAACAGCTTGAGTTTCTTAGTATGTACACCGCAAGCACCGCTCACATCGCGGCAGCTCCAGCACTCTTTGCGTTCATCCTGATGACAGGCTCGTCAGTTTCGCGCTTCCTGATTTGCGGCACTGCGACAGGTCTCTCGATCGGTTTGTCAAGGCTGAGAGTTCCAAAAGCCACGAGCGTCGTGACGACCCTGCTGTCGCTGTAAACCTGGATGCCCATGACTGGCATGCGAGGGAAAAGCATTGCCCTTCGGTAGCGGATCAGGCGTCGCGGAGCCAGTGTGTCACCGCGTGCAATGTCCCAGGGGCGGAAGGTCGAAGAGAAGAGCGCCGCAAAGACATTTGGATGCTTCTTCCTGAGGTGGCACTGAAAAGAAATACCTCATGTTAGTAACGGGCGACAAGACGTATCGAGTTGTTACTCACAGCTTGGAGCACATCTGGACAACGAGTGCTCTTGCAAATCAAAGGCACCCGCTCTTGTCCCAGTCGAGAAAGAGAAGCAGCATGCTGATAGGACTCTGCAAGCATTCTTGTGAGTACGAAGCCGCTGGAGAAACGTCTTTCGTGTTATACTACCTTCAGGGCTGTCAACAATCGCCGTAGCGAATTTGTTACTCTCGTGAAACATATGTCCAAGAGCAAGAGCCTGCACAGCATCGCAGTTAATCACTTGCAAAACAAACAGCAAAAAAGCGACTCACATTCTTCTGCCAGTGTCCGGCTCCGAATTCACTGTGACAGTGCCGCTTTTGTTCCACATGCCTTGCAACAACATCGACTGGGTTAACGTTCAAGATTGAGAAAACCATATCGACAGTCATCTCCTTGTCAATGTTGAAGACCTTGCACTAAACAAGGGAAGTGTTTAAGAACTTGTGGTGGTACGCAAAAGAAAAATACTCACAAACTCATGGTCCACTTCCGCAGCTCCACAAACTCCTGCCCCGAGCTCGTGCTTCACCATTTCTCTCAACACCGGCAATTCCCCATCCACGGCGCCTAGAAAGCATAAAGCTTAGCAGCACACTCGAACCCACTTTACAAGAGTACTTACTCAAACAAGAACCTGGCCGGTCGTAAAAAGAAAAGGCTTTGATCGCTTTATCCGCTGCAAGGTAGAGCCGCTCTCTCAGGTCATGTGTGTGGGATATCGTCGGTGGCTCCGGAATCACAGCAGCAAGCGGCTCAGTAGCTCCGGAATTACCAAATGGAGACCTCTGCCACGAACAAGAAGTGTGTCACAAACTATGCTAGTTTCACGAAGATTTCGAGGAGCTTACGAAGGAAGAGCGCGCCGGAAGCACAAGATTGTTGATCTTGGAGTAGAAATCGCGCCTGGAGCGCTCCAAGAAGTCCACAAAACCCCAGAAGGCCCCGGAGACGCGGTCCGCGGCGCGGCGCAGCCACGATGCCGCCGAATCGACCAGCGACGAAGAATCATCCACAATGTAGCCAAAAGAAACTCCATCGGCAAGCGTCGGGAGCTGGATCCGAAATCTTTGCCACTGCGACGACGATCTCTCGGTCGACACACCTCGCCACTCGGCGATTCTCCGATCGGCCGTGCTGAGCAGCGCCGCGAGAAGGACCCATAGCACCAAGGCGCTCCAGAGGCGCATTTCTTCCTCACAACCAAGCCTTACCTAATAAGAGCCCTAATTTCTTTAATCTCTAGTCGTATTAAAGAAAAAGGAATATAAAGTATTTTTTCCGCAATAAAAATAAACTTAATGTAAAAGTAAAGGAATCTAAAGAATATTCTTCTGTCTAAAACCCTAAGTGAAATTTAGGGCAAGGAGTTCCAGAGGCGGCGAGGAAGATGAGTAAGTCCGCGAGCGAGGATTTGCGCTTGTAGCAATAGCGTTTTCTTGTGATTCCAGGTAAGGTGCACGGATCTTTGGCCCGAGCGGGCAAGGTGCGCGGCCAGACGCCCAAGGTCCAGAAGCAGGACAAGAAGAAGAAGCCCAAGGGCCGGGCGCACAAGAGGGAGCAATACAACAGGCGATTCGTCACCGCCGGTGAGCTAGCGATTGAAATTTTCTTGCTGTTTCGCTCACGATTCGCGCTTTCAGTGGTCGGATTTGGCAAGAAGCGCGGCCCCAATTCGTCTGAGAAGTAGAGGCGATGTTCTTAGTTCTTTTTGAAGCAAACGAGAGATTTTAAATCATCTTGACCGTACACGTGCATCATCCCAGCCGATAGACCTAAGTTTGAAAAATAAGGAGACCTAATTCTTCGTATCATCTCAGCAGTTTGAAAAAAGAAGAACCCTAATTCTTACATTGTGGCAAATGGGAGATTTGTAGCGAGACCATCCTGTGAAGCACCGATAGCAATGCCCGCTCGATCTCTCCCCCATTTTCGCCCTCCAACACGCCCAGCGCCCTCGCCACTGCCTCCATGCTGCTCATACACCCATGGTAGGGCTCCTTCTTGAGGATTAGGTCCGAATTCCCTCCCATTCCCAGCCCCTCCTTGCGCTTGTCAAACGGCAGGCACACCGGGATCGCGAATCCCCGCAGGAATTCCATGCTAGCGCTCACCATCTCCTTGGCGTGCTGCCAGGTCGCGTCCACGATCAGCAAGACGATCCTCTCGGCGCCTGCTGCTCCATCGCCAATTCTCGCCCAGGAAGAGATCTCCGTGGCGTCTGGCGTTGGGAATAGCAGCAAGACCGGTTGCAATGCCGGCGATCCGGGCGATCCCAGGAGCCGATCCAGCTGCGCCGAGCATCCCTTCCTCAATCGCCGCCCGACGATCACCTCGCAGGAGTCCGGATGGAGGCATTTGGCGAGAATCGGTACCGTCGCGAGCTTCTGCCTCGTCTCCAGCGGGTGCTGCAGCACGATCACGCTTGTTCTTCGCGTCTGGATGCGCTCCTTGGGCATGGCCGGGCACAGGCACGCCGCGCAGGGCCTATCGCATCCATCGCATCGTGGGCGCATTGCCTTCGCTTCGCAAGAACCCTAGAAATATTTGCCATTTGCGTGACAAATAGGTAGGGTTTATCGTTGGCGCTGCGAGCGGCGGGATCGCGATCTCTCATGAAATTCCCTGGCGATGATCGATTACATCGGCAAACGCGAGGTTTCGAACCAATGCGGGTAAGATTCTTGGCTGGATTTCGATGCGCGACGAGAATATTTCGCAGGGAAGAGCTGCGATTGTGCAAGGAGAGAGCCGCGTGCCATGTCCCTCACGTCCTTCGCGAGCGCGAGCTCTCGATCGGATCCAGCAGCTGCGATAAGGTGTTTGCCGCGGCATGGATCGACGATGCCAATGTAGCGCTCGGCACCAAGGACAACAAATTGCTGCTCGTCCACTCGCAGAAGGATCGACGTGTCGAGATAACACTTCCTCGCAGGAACTCGTGGAGCCGGCCAGAGCCCGTGGATTCTTCCTGCGGCATCCACTCTATGTATCCTTCCAACGATTTTTCTATTTCTGCTCGATCGTGGACGTGATCCTCATCCGTTAGCTCGCTCAATCTCTCCAAGTCGCTTCTCGTGACTGGAGCGGATCATCCAAACGATGCTGCAGTCTTTCGACTTCCATCCTTCCAACCATTGCAGCTCTTAAAGGTGAGCTTCTTTTTTCTTTGTTTGCTTACAACTTTTACCTTTTGCAGAAACACGACGACTGGATTTTTGCAACCTCCTGGCTTACGGACACAGTTCTTGCAACTGGTTTGTGTCAAGTTTCCTTCTTTTCTTTTTATCGTCCTGGCTCTTTCTATGATTGATTGCTCTACAGGTTCTCGGGATTCCACTGTAAAGCTCTGGTCAGTGACCCGGAGCCGCTCTTACCTCAACGAAAGCCCCATTGCTGAGAGAAGATATCACCGGGATAAAGTGAGGGATATAAAATACTGTTCCCAGGCTGAGGTAACAAGACTGGAATTTCTTATCTTTACAACTCCATTCCAGATTCTAGGGACGCTGAGTCAAGATGGCACTTGCAAAATATGGGATCCACACGTGATGGAAGTGGTAAGTATTTCAAGCTTCCTTTGAATAATATTAGTTTTCTTTCTTCTTTAGATTTCAACCGTCCAGCTGCACTACAGAAGGCACTTGCAGTGCCTTGCCATTCAGTACCCGGTTTTGGCTGTTGGTTCTCAAAAGCACGTATCTTTCATCGACATGAGATGTGGGCATCTTACTAAACACATTGAATCTCTGGACGACGGCTGGGGTAACATCTAGACTTTATATACGGATCTTTCATTTTGGCTTAGCAGGTGTTCGCTCGTTGAGTCTCAGAGGTCCTTTGCTAACATGTGGAGGTGGAAAGGGACGATTATCTTTCTTCGAGATGAGAGCGATGAAGTACCTTACTCTCGGTATGTCGTAGATTATTTTCTATTGCGTCGTAATCCGTTTCTGGATCGCAGACCCGGACGCTAGCGGAAATAAGCACTTATATTACAAGATTGGCAGAGGAGCTCCAGTAAAGAGTGACCCATAAAAAAAGCTATGGTTCTGATCTACGTTTTCTGTAGGCCGAACGAGACTTCAAATGGCATGCTGTTTATGCACATTCATATGACGTGACTGGCACCTCTTTGCTCGCCGTTGGTGGTCCAGCTTTGTATGGTCAAAAAGGGTGCTATACTGCTATTTGGTAGTAGCTTGCTCAAGAGGTATCTTTATCGAGTCTTGTCTTTCACCTATCGATCATGTTCTTGCAGTTTCAATGTATATAGCGGACCACTAAAAGGGAGGCTTAGGTGTGTATGCGTAATTTCGTAGATTTTTTCCGCAAGAATCGTAACTCTGTTTTCTTCAGATTGGCGTATGATTGTTTCTATGAAAAAATGTCGTTCTCTTAGCTCGATTGAGGTGGTAGTTTCTCCTCAAAATGTTTCCGTGTTTAACAAGGCTATCCTTCGCAAAAGGTGAAATGTCAATTTAAAAGATAACTTTTGTCGATACCTTACAGGGAGTGATCGGTCCCAAGATTTTTCTTAAGAACATTCTATTGCCAATAGAAAAGAGTTTATACAGCACCACTTTACAAAACGACTACGTCGGCGTTATGTTCTTAAATATAACGACGACGTTCTTAAATCCGATCGAAGTTTATATACACACTTCTTTATCTACGCAGGCCTAGAACTTTTTGGACTTGCCTTGCACGAGTCAAAAGGATTGTTGCGGTGGTGGCTACCAGAAACGAAATGATAAAGCATGGGACTCCAGCCAGGAGCTCCTCACGGTAACCATCGTCCGAATGATGTTCTTCTACAGATAAGGCTGGAGAATCCTGTGGGCGGATGTTGGAGAGAGGGAAACCATACAGTCCTGGATTACCTTCAAAGCTACTGCTCTGAAAAGTGGTAAGCTGGCCTTTCTGAGGAATCATGCCTGACAATCTGTTGTAGGAAACGTTGAAGTTGAAAAGAAAAGTCAGCCCGGAAATCGAATCCGGAATCCGGCCGCTCAGGAAATTCTCTGAAAGGTCCAGCACCTGGATGTTCTTGAGCTGACCAACCGACTCAGGTATCGGACCGGCCAGAAAGTTGTGTGCCAGATCCAGCTTATACAAGTTCTGCATGCTGCTCAATTCTCCAGGAATACCACCAGTGAGATTGTTGTACGAAAGAGTCAGGACGATGAGGCTGGTCAGTTCCACCTTGAACAGCGGCAGATATTGCATCGACCAAACGCACTCGGTCGCCAACTCACTCACACGCTGCTCCAAGTCTTCCAGGCGGAGTCCCTGGAGCGCAAACAACCCGTCCCTTCCTCGGCACTTGGAGAACTGGACCTCGAGAATTTTACAGTTCCCCAGGGAGCTTGCTACGACCGGGGCCAAACCGAGAACCATTTCTCCGGTGTAATCGCGACCAACGCGAGAAGGAACCGTGCCCGTGAGCTGGTTCGCACTCAGGTCCAACATGACCAGATTTTTGCACTTCGACAGCTCCAGAGGTACGCCACCTTCCAGAGAGTTGTTTCCGAGCTGGAGAACTACGATGGTTTGCAGCTCTCCCAGGGATGGCGGGATTTTCCCAGTCAGTCTGTTTGAAGACAACGAAAGCCACCACAAGTTCTGAAGGCGAGAGATGTCCGGAGGGATAGCTCCATGCAGATTGTTGTAACTCAAAAGTGCGATGGTCAGATTGGTGCAATTCCCGAGAGCTGGCGGAACGATGCCCTGGAGTTTGTTCACCCACGCAAGAAGATGCTGGAGCTGCGGGTGGTTCTCACATAAACGATCCGGTATTTCTCCAGTTGCGTTGTTGAAACTAAAATCCAGCATCTCCAAACTGGTGCAGTTTGCGAGCGAGTCGAGCACCCGTACGCCGAGCTTGTTGTTTGGCAGTAGAAGGCTCGTCAACTTGAACGGCGGGCTCTGCTCCAGACAAAAGCTGTCCCGAATCGTGGTGAATCTGTTAGAGCTGAAGTTGAGAAACGCGAGGTTCTGGTGAATCCCGAGGACTTCACCGGCGAACCCGTTGTAGCTGGCGTCGAGAACTTCGAGAGACGGTAAGAAACCATCGTTTTCTAAGCTTTGACGACCGAGAATGTCGCCTGGTGTTCCAGAGAAGGAGTTGAGCGAGATGTTGAGATGCTTGAGCTTCGGACAGGACGGCGTCGGCTGGACGAAGAGCTTTCCGGAGATGTTGTTAGCCGACACGTCCAGCTCGACCAGCTTCCGACACGCAGCCCCCGACCGGATCTCGAAAGCGGTGAAAGAGTTCCCGGCCAGCTTGAGCTTCCGGATGCTGTTGGAGAAGCCGAGCGATGGGAAAGCCCCGGAGAAGCTGTTGTAAGACAGGTAGAGCTCCCGGAGATTGGTACAGGCAGTGAGGAGCTCTGGAGGAATCGCTCCAGCCAGATCATTCCCGGACAGGTCCAGCCATTGCAAGCTCTCATAGCGACCATCGCCGAAAGACGCTCCAGAGATCGAGCCACTTATCTGGTTTTGCGAGAGGTCCAGCCGCCGCAAGCCCGAGCACCTGGTAAGAAACTCGATTGGAAAACTCCCGCGGAGCTCACTGTTCCTGGAAATGTTTAGGGACTCGAGCGAGCACGAGTGGAGAGTGATCCCAGCCAGGGGCTCCGTGAAGTTGCTGGCCGAGACGTTTAGCTGGCGGAGCCGGGGGAGCTCTTCGATGGTGGAAGCCAGGAGAGAGGCCGGGAGCTCCAAGAACTGGAGGCTCAGGGACGCGACGCGGCCATGGACGGAGCAAAGCACGCCTTGCCATTGGCAAGAGGGCGTGCTCGCGTTCCAGCTCTCGAGGCTCCGCGATGGATCGCCCACTCCATTTTTCAAGGATAAGAGCGCTCTGGTATCGCTCGCCGCGGCGAGGATCGCGATTCCTATCAGTTGGAGAAGAAAAGCGTGCACGAGAAAGCCTGCCATGGTGGAGAAAAAAAATGGAAAAAAAGAAGGCAGAGCTCTACAAAAGAACAAAACTATTTTTTTGCCCCATTTTCTTTAGCAACAAGGAAGAACTTTTCTTCCATAACTTTATAGGAGAATATTCTTTAGAGATGCCAAATTTATTTTATTTCTTCTGTTTCAGAGAAAATACCTAGTATATTCAAGTATACTCTTGAATATTCTTTCATCTTAAAGAGGATGCCAAATCTATTTTAAACGAATATTCATTCCAGTCAAACACTTGTCAAACGTTGGTCCAGGGTAGAATTAGAATGCGCGCACCTTCCACGCTCGGATTTGCCGATCCAGACCTCCACTATAGATACAAAACGCGCGCTCTTCGTCTCCCTCTCTGCGATCTTCTTCCGCGATATCATCGTTCTTCTCTCGCGGATCCATGGCCACGACCACGAGCGACTTGATCGGTCCCGTATGCCCTTTCAAAACTCCCAGGCAACAGTGACCACCGAGCCCTCCACTCCAGATCCTCACGGTCGCGTCCGCGGATCCACTGCACAGTAATTCCCCGGCGCGTCCCAGGCACAGCACCGCTCCACGGTGCCCTCGCAATCTTTCCACGCAACTCATGTACGGATCATCGTGATCGCGATCGCGATCGCCAAGAACAACCACTGCTAGCGATTTCTCCCACACCGCAATTGTGGAATCCGAGAGTCCAGCGTAGAGAAACTCGCCCCCAAGAACCAGCGCGTTCACTGCAGTAGAGCCATTGCGAGCGCTCTTTGATAGCGTCTCGTGGAACAGTGTGCCGAGCAGCGCAAAATTCTTCTTCCTATCGCTTCCCCCTTTCTTCCACACCCTGATCGTCGAGTCCGCGGATCCCGTGTAGAGAAATCCCTCCGGCGACGCAACCAGCGCATTGATCGCGTCGTCGTGAGCTCGGAAGGATTGCAGGCATCGCAGGTCGGAGACCTTCCAGACCTTGACGCTGCGATCCCAGGAGCTCGAGAAGGCGAGAGATCCGTCGTGAGAGCTCGCGAGCGACGAGATCGTGTCCGTGTGCTGGAGCCACAGGCAAGTCTTGTGGCGACGAACGCGAACATACCTCGCGGGAAACATACACGACCTCGCGACGTCTCTGGCCCGGGGCAGCGTCGCCAGGAGCTTCATCGTGAATGATCTGTTGCTGTTCTTGGCGATGGAGTCGAATTCGTTGATCTTGAGAAGCTCGACTGTCTTCCAGACGCGGATCTTGTTGTCCTGGTGAGCGCTGAGGAAGAGTGCTCTGCCTCTGTGGGTGATTTGGAGGAGGGACTTGACGCAGCCACCATCTCCAAGCTTGGCGAAGTCCGATAAGTGGATCAAAGCTCCTTCATTCTCTGATCGGTGGAAGCACTGCCACAGACTGATATGGCTGTCCTGGGAGCCAGCGAGCAAAAGCCCATGATCTAGATCTTTCCCAGCCCAGCAAAGAGAGAAAATGGGACCTTGTGGAGCCCGGAAAGAACCCAGGCAGGAATAAGAGGCGTGGCGAAATTGTTCGCGAGCTTGATCTTCGACTTCTCCTCCTCCTTCGGCTCCTCGAGTTGTTCTAGAATTGTGAATACGATTGAGGCTTCTTTTCAGAGACCATGACTCTCGTCCAGATGATCGATCGGCATCGCTGGTATTAGAGCTGGCGGGAATGGAGCTGAATTTCGTGCTGCTGCTGCTAAAACTCTCGCTGCCAGTGTCATTCTCGTAGAAACTCGACGGCATTCTTCTTATAGAAATCGAGAAACGCTCTTTTCGAGATCAACTAACTTGAATCGCTCTCAAGAACTCTACTTGCAGGATATGGATGAATAAATCTCTCGCAAATCACGGTAAAACAACTATTCCCCGTGGAACATGAAGGGAAGTTGCGTTGGGAGACAAAACTTTGTGGAGACTTCCTCTCATGGCGCGCAATTTGTAAGAAACGCAACTTTGCACCACGCACACGTGGACAACACACGAATCCACGTGGTGCATGTTCATTGGGCTGAATCTAGATGCCCACAATATTCCATCTTGGAATGTCCATTATATACGCCATATGCCATTGGCAGGATAGTAATTCTGGTATTCTCTTGTGCGAGAAAATTTTCTAATGGATATCCGATTTTTCGACGCGGTGGATTCCAAAAATAATTAAGTTAGACCATGCTCTAATTTAGTATTTTAGTAAAAATTATACAAATACTCGATGCTTGTGCGCGGTATTATTCCATCGAGGTGGAGCACTCATGCAGTCATGCCCGTCCCAACGCATGTTGTCTGATAGTCGGCACGATTTATGAAAAAGTTTAGAGTTGTGTGAACCTTCCCTTCACTTGTTTTTCACTCAATAGCGTTTAAGTTGAGACAAACTTCCAAACTTTCAACCTCAAATCCTCTCTTTTTGACCAACTTTCTCGAACTGTACGAGTTTTAAGTTTTAAGATCTCACAGCCCCATGTGAAGTCACAGGAAACGTTCTTGACACTTTCTGCCGCAAGTCTGCCCAGCTAAAGTGATCAAATTAGTATGTAATTAACAAACAACCGACCTTAAGTGGATCATGATCATAGCAAATTAGTATATAAAGCATACTTTTCCAGTGACCATACCAACCATGAATATTGAAAACAAGAACAAATGAAGGTCATTAGCATCCAAACAATTTGGAAGTCCCAATCACAAACAACAAAAGAATCAAGCTGTGCCGTCAAGCTATAGGAATCGCCTAAGCTCCACTCAAAGTTTATATAACGCCGTCCAGATTCCACTGCCCCGATTTGTCCCGTTCTTTATGCAACTACCTGTGTAAGTATATAGTTCCAATGATGAAGAAAACCGTCCATGATAAAAACATATTTTATCATCCTTAGCTTACAATTTTAAACCTATACTTTGTACGTATTTGCTTACAATTAGCAGGATTCTCTTGACCATCTGAATTTGGAATTTGGACTACTGTATGTACACAGAAGTGCTAAACCTGTCATCAAGAAGTTATTTCTCAGAGATGCAAGAAAATTCTTCGTTGATGTCCATCAACCTTGCACAGGCTTGGGGCAAGAGCAAGTCTCAGCTGTATGTCCGGCCGCACTTGCAACAGGGATCGCCTGAGGCCGTTTTCTTGGCACAGGTGCATGTCTCACATTTGCAGTTTGCACCGCATGCGCAGAAAATTCCGTCGTGGCCACTACCACAGGATCAAAAAAGTTGCCAACCCTTAAATTGAGAAGAATAGTAGAAGCTTACTTTCGTCCAGCAGCTCTGAATATCCGGAGTTGTCGATCAATCAGAAGTTACAGAAACACAAATCATGCGTTTATCACTTACTTGCAATTAGCTCCAGATGGGCATGGACTCCCGCAAGCACACCCGCAGTGCAGCCGCAGGTAGCAGAAGCAACAGCAGCAGTGGTGGCCATTTCTCGATCAAGTGAAGATGAGACACAGTGATTCATTCCTTCATTCATTAGCTGTTTACATAGTCTAGTAGTACCCACTAAGAAACATGAGACCAATAGATTACAGTAAATTGTTTTGATAATCTTACATTTGCAAAACTCTTCTAAGTTTTCTGCCACCAAGCCTTTTGTCCCGGCTCATCAATCTACCTGCCGCACCTTCTGACGCATCTTGGGAGACACGCCCAAAGCTGCCCGTTTATAGAATGGCTGCATTATGCACAAAATTTGTACTAGATGCAATGTACAAAAGGGATATTAGGGTATATGTGACCTTTTAGTCCCTAGCATAAACCTTTGTGCTATTTAAATGCTCATAAGGTTTAGATTCTATTCATTTCAATGGAGGATGGAGAAACTTTTCTCATGCTGCCGCAAACTTTTCGGCTGTCAATTCTTGAGCTTCAGCCGGGAGTTTTGAGAGCTGCTCGGGGTATGGATGGACTACCACAACAACGAATGTGCTCTTGCCATTATCATCGAGACAACTTTAAAATCCCAGACTGGGATGGATGAAGACACCTTGCAAATGCTGTTCTCCTTAAGGATTGGCTGGCAAGCGTGTTTAACAAGGTTGAGGAGGTGAGATTTAATATCCACCGACTTGATCAACACCCAAAGGAGCATCCTTACATTTGGGAAGATGTTAGCAAATTGCTATTTCTAGGAATGGAGTCTGAAATCTTCCAATACTTGGGTGCTCAACACGAATTGGATATTCAACACGAAGATGAGTTGTGGATGCCAACTCATCTTCGAAGGGATGGGAGGAGTCGATTCCATATCCACCCCAAATCAATGTCCAGGTAGACTGTCCAGTGGCCGACCATATAAACAACAGAGAATGGAAGTGAAAAAACTTTGGAAAGAATAACCAAAGATAGATAGATAGATAAATAGATAATTGTGTTTATAGTTGCCGTTAACCTGTGAGAGCATGGGACTTTTGAGTGGGGAGGAGAGCAGGGAGTCGGGCATTCAAGCATTTGCTATATGTTTCAGTCTGGGAAGTGGGGGCATGTTGCTTTGATGAGCGGTGCCCTCCAGTCTTCAATGACACATAGATCAAGAGCAGTCATTGCTGCCATGGTCGTGTTTCCCATGAATGCTAGAGGTCTTGGGCATGGAAGTCTAGTGTGGGAAAGAAGAGCCATAGCCGCATGTAGGCAGGGTAGTCATATATGACATAAGATAGAATCTCTGTTCCTGTATTGCACAGAGAGATGGGCATCTCTAGGCGTGAGCGGCTTCTGTCTTCCGCCTTGGTGTAGCCTGTGGCGTTGTGGATGCTGGGCCAATGATTCTCCCAGGGTTGATGTCGTGGAGATAGTCCTGGAAGCAGTTGGTAACCAAAAGTGTTGGTTTATGGATTGCTGGAATAAAAATACTTGGTTCGAAATGTTACGCAATTGATTAGAATATACTTAAAAGAATGGAATATAATGACATAATGCTGCTTTTCTTTGCTCTGCTTCATGGAGATTTCTAAAGATTTTCTATAAAAGCCACAAAACGTAAGAAATAAAAAGGACAATCAAAACGCTGAGCATTCCGGACCAGCTTCTTTGCCGTTTGTTCGCCCAGCATGCGCGAGGAAGTCCTGTAAAAGAAGAGAAAAAAGGTCTTAGAAAAGAAGAAGTCTCTTTTTCCAGATCGAGAAGAAATCAGCTTGACCACAGCTGTAAGCAAAACTTTATAATTATTATTGATCTAAAAATTGCATAAAGATCTCTCTTTCAAGTCCATCAACCTTGCACTGGCTTGGGGCAAGAGCAAGTCTCGCAGCTGCATGTCCGGCCGCACTTGCAGAAGGGCTCGCCTGAGGCCGTTATCTTGGCACAGGTGCATGTCTCACACTTGCAGTTTTCACCACATTCGCAGAAAACTCCGTCGTGGCCACTATCACAGGATCAAAAGAGTTGCCGAATCAGCATTTAATTGAAAGGAAAACACAAAGCTTACCTTCGTCCAGCAGCACCCGTTGCTGCACATCTGTGATCCAAGGATTTGTGAATCAATCAAAAGCTATAAAAACACAAATGATATCGCTTACTTGCAATTATCTCCGCATGGGCATGGATTCCCACAAGCACACCCCGCAGTGCAGCCGCAGGTGGGCGTGATAGCAGCAGCGCCAGCAGCAGCGGTGGCCATTGCAAAACAAAAAGTGAAGAAAAGAGGACGAAAAAACACTCTATTAGAACAGTGAGGAACTTGATTGAGAAATGCCCACAGTTGCCCACTCTTATAGAATGGGTCATGCATTATGCAAGGGCAGGCACGAGTTCACCACCAATTGTTACTGCTGGTAAAAGAAATGCCACTATATTATGTTTTGTATGAGATAAGAAATCTAATGAAAGGATAGACAATTGGAAGGTTGACAAGGTACAAATCGTTGGTCATGCGTAGATGGACAATTCCAAATCTGCACTGAGCATCCATTCCCGAGCATGATCGCAAGCCCAGGAGGTTTACCAGGACAGACGAGCGGTGAGGAGAGCCATTCTTTTGAGTGCACGTTGCAAGGAAAGTTCGTTAGACAGTCGTAATAAGGATCTGTGCAAGACCTGGACAAGCCACCACAGTCTACAAGTTCGATTGTCTCTATAGAAGCGACTGAAGAAAAGGAGGAAAAGAGAAGGAAGTAGTACCCCATGGTTTGACATGACGGCTCACAAGAGCCTACGTTATAAACAAAGTGGACCGTGAAAATTTCGTCATTGGACTGTGCACTTGCCTTTGAATGTGATGAGTTTCCAAGTACGATGCAGAAGAAGAACAATCGAGGCTAGATTCTTGGCCTGTTCTCTGTGCTTGGAAACAATGCTGCCTGTTACAGAAAAAAATTCTCGCTCAGCTTTGTCCTGCCTCGCACTGAAGGATCGAAACCACTGTTCCACGGGGAAGTTTTTCAAAGCAACGGACGAGTAAGTAAGTAAGACGTGGGCTTTGCTGCTGTTCCCTGTGTTGTATGAAGACCGTTCGTAATCCTTCGTAGCCTGGCAGCTGTGAAACGAAATGCGCAAATGTACTCATGATTCTGCAAAGTCGAGATTTTCCACTGGATCTTCGTCAATGCCTGCCACTTCTATTCCCGAGATCTCCAGCGAAGCTGGGTTGAGTACCTCGATGTTTACCAGGGCGTTGATACGAGCACCAGGGCGTTGATATGATTTGATAGGTCCAAGCTATCAATCCCAGCGCTCTTGACAATTAAACAGGTGATCTCACGAAGCAGCGTTTTACTGGGAGATTGCTCCAGCAGAATCCGACTTCCGCTAAAACCTCTTCTTTTGCAATCTCGCGGGCTCTGGTGGACGTAAAAGGAAGCTCGGAGTGGTTCTAAAGAGGTGC